TCCATGTTCTGGTATCTTACTTTACATGGTATTTTATTCTGGGGCGCGAGTTCTGGAGCACCCTGTATTTGCAAACTATAAAAAATCTCATTTTTTTTAAATCCCATACTATCTGATTTGCAATATTTTGTACAGGGTGCGCCAGAACAGAAAAATTTCAAGTAAGATTCTATGTGTCAATAAATTTTGACATTTGACATTTTTTTATGTCTATTTAATGTTACTGATGATCTTATACAGGCTGCGCCAGAACTCGCGCCCCAGAAAAAAATTTCAAGTAAGGTAAGATACCAGGAACATGAAAAAAATGTTTAAAAAATTCTAACTGTCAAAAAATTTTGACATATTTTTTGACATTTGACATTTTTTTATATCTATTAAATGATACTGATGATTTTGTATATGTTTTTTTTTACAATTATTTAGTAAAGGGTCAAAAATTTTGCCAATAAAAGCCACAAATAACATTGAACAGAGTTACAATTTAGGATACAGCTTCCTTGTTTCCTCTTTTARTAGCCTATAGCAAAAAAACTTGGAAAATTATTTTTCCAACAGAAATAAATAGAGTCAAAGTGCAAACTTTAAAACCTCATAACTTCGAAATTTTTATAGATAACTTTTTTTTACGTTTTTTCCATGTTCCTGGTATCTTACCTTATATGGCATTTTTCTCTGGGGCGCGCTTTCTGGCGCACCCTGTACTATATGTTTTTTACAATTATTTAGTAAAGGTACAAAACTTTTGCCAATAAAAGCCACAAATACATTGAACAGAGTTACAATTTAGGATATAGCTTACGTGTGTCCTCTTWTARTAGCCWRTAGCAAAAAAACTTGGAAAATTATTTTTCCAATAGAAATAAATAGAGTCAAAGTGCAAAATTTGAATTCTCATAACTTCGAAATTTTTATAGATAAAATTTTTTAAATATTTTTTCCATGTTCCTGGTATCTTACTTTAAATGGCATTTTTCTCTGGGGCGCGAGTTCTGGCCCACTCTGTATAATTATCGGAGGCTTCGCCCCAAGAATGAAACTCATACTATCAGATTTCGTCAAAATTTACACATTTCTTGACCAAATTTTTTTTATATGGGGCTTTAAAAGTCTTAAACAACATATCACAAATCACTACCTAGCTACAATAGATATGAGATCAATTTTTTGGTTAATCTGTGGGAATTTTAACAACATAATCGACGTATTTCTGCTGATTTAGTTGTGTATTTTTTAGAGCTTAGCAATATAACAGTTGTTTCGCTTAATTTTAAGTTGGGAAAATATGTGTTTTAATTTTTTTTTCTATTGAGGTAACTTTATTAATACTAATTGAATCTCCATCTTTCAAGTTGCCTACATTTTAAATTTCATAAAAATCCTTTGGCAAATAACAATTAATTAATCTGTATTAATCAGTTTTAGTTAAAGCCATCGCGAACGCAAGAGTTAAACTTGAAATTTTAGTCATTAGTAAGTTTTATTATTGTTATGGTGCAGCCTTGATTAACATTTTCGCAAACGATGAAATACCGTGAGCATTTATCCCGCGTTTTGACAATAATGCCGAATTCTTTTTATCCATTTTCTGCATTCGAGCAAAGATAATGTCCGCAATAAATTTCCAAAACATGTAACAGCCTCGGTAAAACATGCAAGTCAACATTACGCGGGATAAATTGTAATACAAGGTTGAAATACGTGACACATTTCGAACCAACGCATATTACAGAATATGCGGCTTTCAGTAGCATTTTTATAAAACAAACACATTGTTCAAAAGAGTCGCAACTTAATCAACTTTTTTCTAAATGGAGAAAAATCGGTTCAATTACAATTCCATTTTGGATTCCCACTTATTGCGAACCAGTTGGTAAGCCTTCATTTGAAAAGCTTGCACGAAAGATAAACAACACGCGAATTTTTTATTATTTCAGCCATCACGCTATCCATTACGTAATTTTCCGTGTTCATATGTGAACTTTGAAGTATTTTCACATTTCTGTGAATTGAAGCCGCCGGCGCTGATTAATTACTACCCTTGCAATGCAAATCCCTAAATTAGAAAATGCTCTCATCAATGACGATTTTAATTATTACTTATTGGTAATTATTAATTAGTAAACATAACTGAAAAAAAATTAACATTTTCTTTCCCAATTAGTCAGTCCCATTGAATAGCATCTTTGTCTCAATTCTTTTTATGATTTGATTTCAACGCTGCTCACGTATTCTTCCTCTATACACCTCCCTAATTCGTTTTCGTATGAACCTTAACTTAATTTATATTAACACTTGTGTGTTTGAAAATCTATTTTCTTGAGGAAAATATCCATCAAGTAAAAAATTTAAGCAAGTGTGGAAAATATTTCATCTCAAAATATGTCACGTCTTTCGAGTTTGCGCTGCAATTTATCCAAGTTCTTGTTTCATTTTTTGATCCCGCATGTTTTCGAAATTTATGACAACCGTTACAAACACAACCATATCCATAAAATATTAATTTACACTTCTAAATCTTCTATTGTTCTCAAAATATTGACAATTTAATTCTCGTAATTAATGCGTCAAACAACACATTTGGATCAAAAAAAGAGGGATTTATGAGTAATTCATTAATCAAAGTCTTTTTACTATTTTCTTATACCAAGTACACGTTTATTAATTAGGTAAATTAAAAGCACAAACTCAGCAAGAACTGTTTATTTTCATAAAGTTAACTAAGCTAGCAAAAAACTTAAAAAAAATTTTACTTTATTTGAAAGAAAACATTTCACTAAAATGTGCACTTGAAATTGATGGCAAATTTTAGCGAATTTTAGCAAGTTAAAGCAAATTCTTCAGTTGCCCAAATAAATCCCTCAGTTCTCAGTTTTTTATAGTTGCGAACAGAAAAAGCACTTCTAGAGTCCGTTATAATTTTTTCATATTTTGTTATTTAATTTAGAAAAAAAAACATCACAAAACCAAAAAACGAAAAAAAAAATCTTAGATTGAACTCCATGCCGAACAAAACTCAGTGTTCTGTAATTTTAATTTCTAAAAAATTAAAGACATATCTGCTGTCTCTACATTTTTTACGTTTGTCAACTTAATAAATAATCACTTTGAGCRAAAACTTATTTTATGGTGAGATATAAAAATAAAAAAATGGACATGGTAAAATCATACTTGCATTAAAAATTATAATAATAAAAAATCGAATAACACAAATAAATATATGAATTCCTCGTAAGAAGTTAAACAAAATTACATTTCTTCAATTTCGACATAATCAGACTTTCAAACATAAGAGCAATGGTTTCATTTATAAACATCAATGTGTGTAACTCACAAACTTAAAGCTTTTTCAATTTAGAAAAATTGAATAAAAGTAATTATAAAGTCACTTATTTGATAGCAAAAACGTTAATTAATCTAATAAGAAACTTCAAATATTTTTTTTTCATTTTACACAAACTGTCCAAAAAAAACTGACTGATGTGAAATGATTTTTTAATTTTTCTCAGAAAAGTTTTTTAAGTGACTATGTAACTGTAAGCGTTTATATTATTTTTTAATAAAATACTGAAGCTTTCTTCAGTAGAGTTCATGCTGAAATCGGCTTAAGAACATCTTCAAAGCTCTATCTAGCGTCACAAAACTTACGTAAATGATGATAAAACTCCCCAGGTTAAACTAAATTTTTTACTTTTTTGTTATTTTGTCTTTGAATTTAGACCAAATGAATCGATCATTTTTGTTATACAGTGCGATCAAAAATCAAGCAAACGTAGAAATTTAAAACGTATGTCTGTGGAAGATAAAATGTCACAATGACAAATGAGAAATGTCAAAATATTTTTTATGTAAATTATGACAGGAAACCGTGGTGAACGATTTTTATGAATAAACACCAACAAAATCTTATTTTAGTTTGTTTTGAGACGTTTCATAGAATAATTCAATTTAATTAGSTCAATGCTTTAATTTTTATAAAATAATTTTATCTAGATCTAGATAACATACGAATTGTCATGCAACATACGTCCTCAACCAGGATGCCTACTTGATAGAAAGACTTTTTGATCGCAGTGTAGTTGCAAACAGAAAAAGGACTTCTAGTGATTTAAAATCCAAATATAATTTAAGAGGCTGTTGAAATTTTTCTAATTTTGTTGTTTAATTTAATAAAAAAAAATGCAAAACAAAAATTTAACTCATGCAAAGTGGTGTTTTTTATTTTTGCAGCAAATTATGGCGAGGTTGTAAAAACTCCATGACGAATGGGGAGCCAATTAATTTCGTTAAAATCGTACGATATTAAAAGGAGCCCCTCTTGAGATAGCTGTTACCCCGATGAGAAAATGCGTCTCATTTCCGTGAAGATAAAATAAATTGACCCCGCCTCCATAAATTCAAATAAATTAAAAATTTATTAACGACGTGCGTCCTTACAAAGGAATTTTCTCAAGCTTAAGTGCGGTTTTCCAAGCTCCCCTTAATTTTTCTCCCAATTACTTTAGGGCTGTAGAATTGCTCATTTCTCGTAGGTGACCCACACAAGATCCTGTTTCTTTCCTACTTATTAAAACGTCTCTCATTATATTCTCACAAAAAATTATTATTTGTACCGCTGAAATAAACAGTTTTTCAGACGGTAAACAAGCTAATTCGCTTCGTTTAATTTGTTTTCTTTTCATTACGTTTTGCTTTTTATTTATTTGGGCTCTCACGAGTTGACAGGTAACGAAAGAAATTACCCCGAGACGTAATTCCGGAACTACTGAGCTGAAATTGGATTAGTTTTTTGGAATTGCCAAATTAGAAATAAAACTCTAGGGAGCTTTCGCGAGGTGATACTCGTATGAAAAACAAATAAATGGATTATTTCCGGAGTAATCCGGGCGCTGAATATGGACGACATTCAACTTTATAGACCCAAGTTTCGAGTTTCACCCTTTGATAAAACTTCTTTGCACTTAATTTTTTAATTTACCAATCAAATAAATGGTACATACATTGTTGAAGTCGGCGGATCCGGAACGACACTTAACCTCAACACACTCAACTTTACGCAAGACGYCGCACAACCCGGAACACCGGAACACGSACTCGTCGTAAAATCCGGGTAAGTACTGAAACTCCAACGCGACTCCGGTTATTACCACAGAAAATCGCACAAGCGCATTGAGACTGTTTTGCAACAAACTAAAATCATACGTACTAGAGACATGTTAAATGCATTTTACTACCACTTAAAGACGGAAAAGTAGCGCCGAGAGTGAGCACGGCTTTGTTCTGTTACTTGGCGAATTATTAATGAAACGAAGAGTAGAACAACTTGAAATAAGCGCAAGTGCCAAAAGAGTTCAAAGCTGAAACACCCAAGTGGCAAACATGTGTTTAAAAATTTTGAAATCTTTGTAACATTCAATACAGGCTACAGGCAAAAAAAGACTACATTGAAATATAAACAGATATACAAGATGCGCCAGAACTCGCGCCCCAGAGAAAAATGCCATGTAAGGTAAAATACCAGAAACAACAAAAAATTGTTAAAAAAAATATTTAGAAAAATTTTGAAGTTATGAGAGTTTAAATTTTGCACTTTGACTCCATTTACTTCTGTTGCAATAGTAGATTATGTTATTAGGAGTAAAAGTGATTGTTTATGTGGCGAAGCTAATTTAGCAGAAAATGCTGAAGCAGGGAAAGAGACAACATTGGTAAATGTCAAAGTAAGTGTCAAGTAAAAGTGAAAACGCTTAGGCGTAAAAACAGTGTTTTTACTCCATGTCCTAAAAATAAGACTTTTACCTGTGTCATTTAGTCATAAAAGTGTCATTTTTATGACGTTTGCGGATAAAAATAATTTTCCAAATTTTTTTGCTACAGACTAATAAAAGAGGAAACAAGGAAATTGTAACTCTGTTTAATGTTATTTRTGGCTTTTATTGGCAAAATTTTTGTACCTTCACTAAATAATTGTAAAAAAACATAACAAGATCATCATTATCATTAAATAAATTTTTTGACAGAATTTTTTCCATGTTCCTGATATCTTATCTTACATGAAATATTTTTCTGGGGCTCGAATTCTGGCGCACCTGTATGTATGTTCTATTCAAAAAAAGCTACATAAAACACATAGACTCTTGCATAGACTGTTACGTTCATTAAAATGTCAAAATATTTCCAAAAATGTACTACAGATGGTTTTAATTAATATTTAATTAACGCAAAACAAATGTTCAAAAATTGGTTAATTTGACTTTTATAAACACTTTGTTTTTAATTAGTATATTATAAAATTAATCTTGAAGTACGAATTCAAGTTTAAAAAACGAGTGACATAGCTACAAGTTATTTTAAAAAATGAGTGCTTCAAAGTTTTATGAAACGAGTTTTTTATACTATTTTTGTATCTTGCCTTCTTTATAGCAGTTTAACAAAAATTTGTACTTTAATCGATTTAGAGATTGTTGTGACGTTTGGTAATGTCTTAATTTTAAAAGTCAGATTTTGATCAAAATCGCCTCTTGGCTATKAAGACATCGCACATGATGACGTCGCGTTGTATAATAATACAATTGTGGCCACGGAATTTTAGACGATTTGTAATTCGACTAACATAAGAATATTAAAAATGTAAAACGGGCCTTATGCAACTAACCTCATTTTCGGTTTTTGTAATTTCTTTCCTGACAGCTAGAGAAAAAATAACAACAAATCAAAATAATTTATTGAACTTACCTATATAAAAACACGTATTACTGGCATTATTGTTTCGACGCCAAAAATAAATTTCAATTAAAACTTTCAAATTTTAATTTTAAACGTCAATCATAATGACAATAAAGCGTGGCTAACATTTTTTTAACTGACACAAATTTGATGTCCAAAGTTCCGTTTTGCAGTTACTCGATTGTTAAATGTCGTAACTTTAGACACTATAGTTTTCAAAATAAACTAGAAAATTTTCTGTTTTCATGTATTTTTTTTCAGTTTAGTAATAATAATCAAGCAATTGGGTGTTTTATGATTCCAATTTCTAAATTACGTTTGACACTGAAAAATTAAAAAAAAAAGAGATATCACACATGGGCGCCAACAGTGTCACAAAAACTGATTTTCAGGATTTTTAATGGATTAAAAAGTGTAAATGTACATGAGTACATTTACTATGAAGTTTATGCTGGAACGCTGAAATAAGAATATTTTTGAAATTGGCCCCTAAATAGTGAATATACAGTATGTCTCCGGATTGAGTTTACAAGAGGAAAAAAAAAATATCTTTGATTTTACGCCAAAACTGCAAAGGACAAACATTTTTTGCTTCACCTGAAACGAGCAAATCTGTAATTAAAACTTCATTATTCTAACTCAGTAGAAAAAAATTTTCATTTTTCTCTTGATTTTTAAATCTCATCACATTGGCAGTTTTATTTTATGGACAATGATATCTCTTCGACATGAGGTTTCGCAAGTTAAATAACAAAAATGTTTGTAAAAAACATAATTTTGATAAACATAGCAACTCAAAGAAACAGTTTTAAAATAAAAACAAAGTCATTATTAACAACTGTCATTATTTAATTAATAAATTAAGTCCAAAATGAAGACAAAAATTAACTTTTCTTTTCACCGAATCACAATACATAATGAAGTTTTAATTACAGATTTGCTCGTTTCAGGTGAAGCAAAAAATGTTTTTCCTTTGCAGTTTTGGCGTAAAATGAGAGATAAAAAAATTGTTTCCTCTTGTAAACTTAATCCGGGGACATACTGTAGATGAACAAATTTCTAGGAAATTTATTATGCATAAAATCTTTGAAAGGCATTATCTCGGAATTACGAATTTAGTACTTATATGATGACACTGTTATCACCGATGTGTGACATCTTCTGTTTCTACATTTTCATCAATGTCATCAACCTAATAAATAATCATAGATCAGTAAAAATATATTTTTCGCATTTTTTTTTATATTTATTATTGTTTCTTATCTAAGAAACATTTCGAAAAATTTTGGGAGATTTTAGTAATAATTTAAAATTGGCCTCGTGGGCGTAATTTTGCGCTGATTGCACTCCCGTGAATAAAATCAGTGCTGCCAATATTGAGTATTTCATGGCACAAAAGGGTGAATCCGCGAGGAAAAAGTAAAACAAACATGAGATTGAATGAAACGCGGCTAAGCAATTACGCGGCGGTAATGTCATTTCATAACGGGTTATTCTGTTATTTTCAAATTTAATAAAAGCCGCGCTGCAAGTTTTTCAATTCGGCTATATTATTATCAACAGAATTTCATTTATATCTTTCCGTCCATTGCTTTCCCAAGATGTAGCCAATAGTATTACAATGGCAGATCAAAAAAAGGGCGACGAAGAGACGAACATAACTCGATTGTTCTTCTCATCTGAAATTCAAATTATCTCATTCGATATGTTTCCTTTTGTGTAATGCTCATCTCAAATCGGATTATTTTTGACGAAAAACTTGTGTTATTACAATTATTAGGGCTTATTCGGGCCGCGTTTTCGCTTCAGGAGGAATTATAGAAAAGGGGCTTTGACAGCTTCGCTTTGATCTTATTACCTGGCGTCAACGTTAAAATACACAAAACTTTTTTACAAACACCCTGTATTTTTTACACTTAAGTCACTCCTGAGGTATACTGTTCAAATGAGATGCTTTACTTTTATCAAGTTGATATTTGATTAGTTTTGGTGTTGCAACAATTACCAACGAGTACAACAAACAAATGTCATTTGCAAATGAATTCGAAAACAAATTATTTTTAATAAATCACTGTTTAAACGATGCAAATTTATTTTGAGCTTATTAAGTATTATTTTTTATTTTTTTATCTCTATAAATGATAATTGATTTCTATAGYAACCTCTAATTTTAAAACTTACTTCCAATATTACAACCTTAAAAACTTAATTGTTCGATTTTAGAAATCCAAAATGTAAATTTTTGTGCCTGAAATTTTTAAATGTACACAATAACAGTAAAAATTAATGAACTTTATCAACTCGCTAGATCACTGTTTAGTTTCTTGTGATTTTTCAAAAATACAGAAATCGAATAGGTGTAACGTCCATAAGAAAATCCAAAGTTGAGTGTTGTAACTCTGACATCAAAAACGCGTTGGAAAATATGTACAATGACAGATTTAAAGTCGCGGTCAATTTTGCAAAGTTGGCAGTTCCTAGCCCACCATCTCTAGTGTGTGGGTTGTGTCTGTGTTGGCAGCAGAAGTTAGTTACTTTTTTTCGTTTTTAGTTACTTTTCAATTGTGTCAACAATTGTAACAGGGGCAGTAGATTTTACATGTGAACTATTCTAACCCGACTTTTTCAGAATTATCATTTTTGATAGACATCGCCCTAAAAAAACAATTGGATGTTTAAAGTCGGATTTACACAACTCAATTTTTATAAATTTACAAAGGGAAATGGCCACTATGAATTGAYCGCGACTTTAGATTCCTTCTAAAAAAGTGCCTTAAGAACGTCCTAGTTAAAAACGTCTGTCTAGATCTTTTAGTTTTCGCTTGAAAAAATAAAAACGAAAAGTACCAATTTCTGTTTTTCCCAATAATTCAAAAACTAAAAATGACACATTAAATTTTCTTTCCGGTGAAATTAACAGCAGGTAATGAAATAACTTTGATAAAATCTCTTTTTTTAACAATTGTCAATATTGACAAAATTCCCTCAAAAACTAACTGTACCAACTTCAAGTTGTAAAGCTTACTATTGTACAATATTTCAATCTTAAAAACATTAATTTCTCAGATTTCAAAAATCCAGATTTTGTCTGAAAAGTCTAAAATTTTAAATATCAAAAAACCATAAAAATTGATGGACTTTATCAACCCATAAAGTACACTTGAGTGCAAAAAAAACCGCAAATTGATTTTTTTTTTATAATGTACTTTGGCCTTTTAATTAAATGCCAGTTTTTTGACGTCGTCTTTGTCACAATTTCATAATTATCCAAACTTGTATCAAGTTTTTCCATTTCGTTTTTAACACTGACTATGACATCATTGCATTGGCAAGACCACAAATAAGACATTTGTTTTGATAGTTTTCTAACCTTTTTCACACTATGTAAATCTCAAAAAATTTGACAATTTTGTTTTTGACAGTTTGCGGTTTTTTTTGCACTCAAGTGTTAGCCCAGTCAAATTAGACAAATCGGTGGAAAAAAATCCTAGAGAGTTGGAATTTTTTTAAACGCTTTCTTTACACTTGGGTAGACATATATCAAAAGTCCCCGAAGGTGGGGGGCGAGCTCGAGGAGGGAGAGGGGGCTAAAGGTGTCTTTTTTTGCTTATATCTCGGAAATTATCACTCCTATAGGTTTTTATCTTCTTATCACAATTAAAGCTTATAAAATTTCCTACAAAAATGGTCCTTTGCATTTTTTTGTAGAACTAACCGTAAGCGAGTTATAGGGCAGACAAAAAACATCATTTAAAAAAAACTGACAGTAAATTTAATTTACTGGGTCCATTACTTTATTAAAGGAAGGGGGAGTCACGAGGGTCTATAAATACGAACTCATCGTTTATGTAATTTATGCAGAATTTTCTGTAGAAGTCTATTTCTGCATCAATATTTCCTACAAAAATGGACCTATTCATTTTTGTCGTAGGACTAATCGTAGGCTTCTAAAGTTTGGAGTCGACATAAAATTGCATTAAAAATCCTTTGAAACACATTTCATTAGTATATGGTAAGTATTTATATGTGTAGAGCGTTCCCCAACTAAGCTGGTCTGCCTGAAAGGAGACTCGGGTGCACACATTTAAACGGAGATATAAATAAAAATTTTGGATGAAAGAGAGAATCAATCTGTAAGGGGGTTAAATGGGGTGAAATGTTTAAACAAAAATATAAACATAATATTCTTTAGAGATGTAAAGAGGCACTAAAATCAGATTTTTCGAAAATTAGTTTTTAAGGGAATAAAACGGTGTACACATTTAAAGGGATATAAAAACATWAAATTTAGAAAATATGATCCTTAGAAAGTGTATAAWTGCACTTTTCAAATTCTAACGAAATAAAATAAAGTTTAACRCTTAAAAACAAAATTAGAAACATGAAATTTCGAATTTTGAGAGTGCAGAAGTGCACTGAGACGACACTTTATGAAAATMAACATTTAACATTTACCCATAAACATAGCCCATGCGAAGAACGAGACTACTATAACTGAATCCTATACATAACATAGGTAATTATCTAGMTTTATAGAGTACCTAACGTTATGGAATGGTTTTGTGAACCGGCTTTTTCCCATTTTATATCAGAAATACATGCAGAGAAAGTGGCAGGTAAATGCTAGTTCAGCATATAAGGATGACTCGGAAGAATTGATAGACCGTCGTGGCACCTCTAATAAACTGTTGGATCCAATACATGCAATTTACTGTAAGCTTTATTCAAGTCATCGATATTAAATCATTTATTTATTAATATTGTACKGAACAAGACTGTAATTCGGTTTTCAATGTTTAAGTTGAAGATGCAGCATATGAGAACGACTCGGAAGACTTTATAGACTCTCTAATGAAGTGCTGTACCCAATAAATTCAATTTGCTTTCAGTTTTTTCAAATCACAAGATTAATTCTGTTTTAAATGTGGATAAAGCACATTTTTTTAATTGATGTTTTTTGTCAGCCCTATAACTCGCTTACAGTTAGTCCTACAACAAAAATGTGAAGGACCATTTTTGTAGGGAATTTTGTAGGCTTTAATTTTGATAAGCGGGCAAAAACCTACAGGAGTAATAGTTTCCGAGATATAAGCAAAAAAACAAAAAAAGACACCTTTAGCCCCCTCTCCCTCCTCGAGCTCGCCCCCCACCTTCGGGGACTTTTGATATATGTCTACACAAGAATAAAGAAAGCGTTTAAAAAAAATTCCAACTCTCTAGGATTTTTTTCCACCGATCGACCTATTTTTGTCTAATTTGACTGGACTATGTATAATCTTTTTTATTTGCGTCTGTGTTGTACACTAAACCACAGATTAGTTGATTAGTAGCTAATCTGTGACTAAACTACAGGAACCTGCAGTAATTTGACATATGACGTAACCTCAAATTGTGTGATTTAACAAGTCACACATGTTGTTAAATTAGTTCGAAGTGCGATGTTACTGAAGACTCCAAAATCTGGATTTCGTAGATGGTTAAAACGTGGGGCAATTTTCATGTTTATTGGTGAAGGCATTGCTTTTGCTATTAGTTACGGAGTTTGGTACAGTGTGAACACCAAGAGAGGTGAATATCAGAAAAATTCTACGTAAATTAATAAATTTTACGTAATAATTGCTTTTTTAACAGAATATCGTAAATATCTCCACGACAATTATCCCTCTATCTTGGAATATTATTACAAAATTGGTGAAACAATCAATTCTGACAACAAAATTCGCCAGATTGATTACGCTTATTGGGAGAGTGAGAAACATTGATGGCAGAGCGAATAATTAAGTCGATTTTTTGGCTAGTCGCTGGTACAGGTTTAGGGTATGGGTTGCTCATAACAGTGCCACCAAAAGAAGAAAATTTGAAAACGGTAGTGAAGTTAATTTAAGCTTTTTCCTTAATTGTTTCCCAATTTCAGAAATTGCCAGGTTTGGAGTCTCCTACTGAATCACTAACTAAGAAACAACAGTTTTCCACCATTCTACAGTCTGCTTCCAGCTCATCCCAGCCCTTATACCGCTTGAATAAAGACGGCATTGATAAAGAAATTCGCAAATAGTGTCAAAAAATGCAAGTGATGGAGGGTAGCATAGACAAAATCAGTTTAATCGCACAAAGAGACTATGAACGAAAATTAGGTTTACAAAAACAAAAAGAAACTAAAGACAGCTTATCTGCAGGTAACGAAAAATTGGCATTTTTTAACGAAACCTTCACTAATAAGCGTCAACACATTGAAAATTCCCTCACTCAATCAAGTAATTTAGACAAAACAGCGCTCCCCCAACATTTCGATACAATTTCCAAGGAAATCCTACTTTTGCAAAAATACGTCGCCAATTCTAACATATTTCTACGTTCTTATGACATCAAAAAGTGTCATGAGAGTTTGCAAGAACTCACCAACAAACTAAAAGAACTGGAAGACACTCTTCTACCTAAAAAGAAGTTTGGGTTTAAAAATAAACCAAACCCCAAACCCCCACAGCAAAAACCAGAAAARGACGAAGTGGACTTTCAAACTAAAACAATAACAAAGGAATTGTGCGGCTTTTTTAATAAAACTGGAGAGACTTTAATTATGAAAGGGGATGAGATTTTCAAGAAAGATGTAACAGTGGAGAAATTAGAAAATTGTGTTGTCAAATTTCCCGGCTCGCCATCCACTCTACACCTCAACCAAATGAAAAACTGTCACGTCTTTACCGGCCCTGTGTCAACTTCAATTTTTGCAGAAAACTGCACAAACTGCACTTTAGTTATAGCTTGCCAGCAACTGAGATTGCATGCTTCTTGTAATGTTAATATTTATCTCCATGTAACAAGTAGAGCAATTATGGAAGATTGTCACGATATATTTTTAGCACCGTACAACTGGAATTATGATAACATCGAGTCTGATTTTAAAGAGTCGGGGTTTGATAAAAACACAAACAATTGGAAATGTGTTGATGATTTTAACTGGCTATATGTCGAACGACAATCTCCAAATTGGTCGCTAATGAATGAAGAAAAACGTGTGAAAAATTGGAATTTATAACACTAGTAATAAAAATTTGTAGTTTATCACGTCTTTGGAGCCCCGTAAGCGTCCGGCATTCTCTCAATAGTGTATCTATGTTGTGCAACATACATTATTGGAACCCCCGGAATTTTCCTAATCCTACGTTTCAAATCTTTGTCATTTGTTGCGACGATGTAGCACTTATGTTGTGTGACCCTTTGCACTAARCAATCATCAGCGTAAGTCCCTTTATGCATACATTTAATCCTCTCAAATCTCGGATCCTTTATTATCCTTAATGCGACTTTATACTTCTGTCCCAACTTCTCCAATTCGCCCAAAACACAGTCCGTTATATAAGGAATACATTTGGCGTACAAACAGTCCATCATATTCTGAATTATATCCAACTTGTTCTTGATAGAAAAATTGATAAAGTTCGTGTCCACCAAAATGTGATACGGGGGCCCCAATTGTGTGTTATACTGGAAAAACAACGCAGAACTGACTTGTGGCACTTCACGTACTTTCATTTGTTGGGGGTCTTCAGGTTTTTTCTTGCGAGGAGACGCCCTCTGACTGGCTTTTATCCGAGGGTCGCTGGGACTGATCATGGTTTTCATTTTCGCGAACCTTTTTTGGGCGATTTTGCGCGTTTTCTTCGCCTTGCCCTAAAAAACACATTTCAAAGTGTGCAAACACTAAGCAGAAAAGTTTTACCATTTTTTCAATTGATTAATTTACATACACATGCAGAAAAAGTGAGGTTAATAAGAAATGCTGCCAACATTGCGGATCATTTGTCCCCAAAATGTTTCAGGTATTTGGTGCATGTTATCTCCAAGACCGTTTTTTATTTTTTAACGAAAATTCTAAAGAATTAATCCAAAACCAGGAAGTGGTATTTTTATATTTTTTCTGATGCACATTTAAATAAAAAGGTTAGTTGTGAGTATTATTAGTGTTGCCACCATTGCGTATAATTTGTCCCCAAACGTTACTTGAGTTTTTTTCAGGTGTTCGATGCATGAATTAAAATTGCCTCCAAGTTAGTTTTCCAGGTGACAAAAGGTGTTTCTTTAACGAAAATTGCAATTGAGGCGAACCAAGGGTTGTTATTGTTATGTTTATATGACGCAAGTTTAAGTTTTTAGAAAATTATGACCGTTTAAATGTGACTATATGAATTTGTTGATTTAATTAGTTTGTTAATTAAAGTGTGGAGACAACTAGTAACAAAATGGATCAAATGTTGCCAAGTCCCGGTTTCAGTATTCCTAGCATAGGTAAATCTCTACTTGTATTTCAAATTTTCTTAGTGGAAATTTCAGGGACCCCCTTGCACCAACCTGAAGAAGATCAGATGATTTTGCCCAATGCTCTGCAACAACAGCAGCAGCAACAACCTTCTACCACATCCCAGTCGCAACAAGTCCCGCCTTTAGCCCCCATGGGCGCCCTAACGCCGACTCTCGGTTTGGGCATGGGCATGTCCATGCCCCATACTAAATACGCGGGATTCACTCTCCCCATCACGAGCATCCAATCCCAAACACCAGTAAGCAACAAACTTGCAATTAAAACAAACCAAATGCTTAATTTTAGCAACACACAATGATGTCTCCTATGGTGAATTTAGGGGGCTCAAGTGGGACAGCAAACACACCCTCAATGGGGCCAGCAACACCGTCACCCCTCACACCAATGACCCCACATTCAGCTGATCCCAACATTGTCCCCCAATTACAGTAACGCAATTTTACGGTTTTTTCCCCTAAAAATAATGTTTTCCAGGAATATTGTATCCACAGTGAACTTAAGTTGCAAATTGGACTTAAAAAAAATCGCCCTCCATGCACGTAACGCTGAATACAACCCCAAACGATTCGCGGCTGTTATAATGAGGATCCGGGAGCCCCGAACCACCGCTCTGATTTTCTCCTCGGGGAAAATGGTTTGCACGGGGGCTAAAAGCGAAGACGACTCCCGACTAGCAGCACGAAAGTATGCCCGAATCATTCAGAAGTTGGGCTTCCCAGCCAAATTCCTCGACTTCAAGATACAAAACATGGTGGGGAGTTGCGACGTTAAATTCCCCATCAGACTGGAGGGACTTGTTCTCACACACAGCTCTTTCAGCTCCTACGAACCTGAACTATTCCCGGGGCTAATTTACAGAATGGTTAAGCCCAGAATTGTATTACTGATTTTCGTCTCAGGGAAAGTTGTTTTGACTGGGGCCAAAATCAGACAAGAGATCTATGAAGCGTTCGATAATATTTATCCAATTTTGAAAAGTTTTAAAAAGCAATAACTGCATATCGCATGTGTACCGCATTTTAGTCTTAACTGTTGACTGTAAGTCTTTTATATTGATAATAGACGAGGATCGAGAAGTGGTTTTTGTCTCCCCTTTGACAAGTTTAACCTCAAAATTTTCACTGAWTTCACATATGTACGTTCAAATGCAATCACCTGATTAGAAATTACGCACAATAAGAAAAAAATTGATTGATAAGATAAAAATTAACCAATTTAATTCAAGTTTATTATTTAAAAGAATTAAGTTTTTGTCACATAACCTCAAATTTTTTTCGAAGAATTATTTGTCAAAAGGCGAGCTAATTTCTGTATTAACAATTTGAAGAACAATAAACTTTAATAAGGTGGAAGAATAATCAAAGACGGTCAAATTCCACAATTGTAAATATTGAAACTGATAAAAAGTGAAGTCAAATTCCATTATGTTATTCTAATCTCACATTAGTTCGGCGTAAAATGTCAACTGAAATGCCTATTCTACCAGGTGAGAGCCCCCCGCAATAATTTGGCGTTATTGGTTGCAATTTTCTAGATAAAGTGAAAAATTTGGTAAGAAGTATTAGGAGAGTGTTCCTGAAATGGTCGGTTCAAAGACCGGTCCTGTCTATGTCTTTGGTGGTGATTGGGGCCGTTGTGCTTCTCCCTGTGGTGACAGCAGCAACGCTAATGCCCATCGCATTGCTACTCACTTATACTGGGATTTTGGCATCACAAGGAATTTTCTACATAACTTACAACATATTCATCCAAGGAATGTTACTAGCTATGGTAATTGTAGCCTTGTTTGTTGTTGGTTTTGCTATTGCAACCAGCGCGAGTGTTTTCCATTCATACAAAATTTTTAAAACAGTTACAGTAAAGAAGAAGCAGTAAATTCAGATTTTTTTATTTACTATTTCTCTACCATATTCTCCAACAACGCCCATAATTTCCCGACTATTTCCTCCTGACTCAATTCAGAACCACTGTAATTGAAGACTTCAAAATCTAGAGAGTTGTCGGCTTTTACATCTGTGTGTATATAAGGAATAAAGGTGCTAGAACGAAAATGTCTTGTTTTTGTAAAAAGGATACAACCAGTATTGGATATTTTATAATCAAAATGTGTACCAGTTAGTAACTTGTATGTTTTAATGCAGTTCCTGAAACACACTCATTAGGGGGTAACGTGGAGACTAATCTAAATTCTCTACTCTAGGTTCTGAAGCCGTTTCAGCTTCTCATTGTGGGATTGACACTGTTTTTTTACTAATTCAAGTTTGCTTTTCTTTGCATCAAACTCGGCATTTAAATTTGCAAGTTCTCGTTCCAGTATTTTCTAGAAAAAAATTAAGATTCAACCAAAACCACGTTGTTTTACTTACCACTTCAGACCGTTCTTTTTCCAAAAATTGAGCATTAATTTTCACAGTTTCAGAAGCATTTTCAATGTTATTTTGTACAGCAGGTTTTATTTTCTTGCCCAAGTTAAACAAATATCCTTCTGGAAACGTATATGATACAAAATTTAAATAAAAACACTTTGTTTACCTTCGTTAACGTTAGGTTTTATAATAGTCGGTTCCACTGTAATTGGTGGCTCACATTCACGAAAAATATTGAGTGTCCCAGTGGACGATCTCGTGTTTTTTCTTAATATTGCCAAAACCTCGTCAAGTTCCATTATTTTGATTTAAATTAATTAATACAACAAGTTTCTGCCATAATGACAAGTAACACAACAGTATTTTGAATCTAGGGATTTTTGCTTGATCATGAGGCCAAAAGGCGCGTAATTCAAACTTTTGAAACGCGAAAAAAATTACTTGCATATTTTGAGCAAGATTCTTTGAAACGCAAATTCAAGGGGACATTTTTCTGTAATCGGTTGACAAAGCTACGCAAAACGTTTGCATATTTAAGCAAGAAATTGAAATAGTTGGAATTACAAAAAATTCCTTATAAGAGTGAACTTGTTGCTTTGTCGTAATAACAATGAAACTCGTTGTGTTGGCGCTTTGGGCGATTGTCCCCCTAACCGTCGCTCAAAACGGTAAAAACTGTTATTTTTTTCATCAAAATAATTTTTTTATCAGATTCTTCCGAAGATTCCTCCAATGACCCAGCGGAAATTTTACCCATCGTGCTTCCCCCAGATGGGCCCCAACTGCTGTGGCATGCGTTTCAATCTTTTGTTGCAAACGCAAACAACCCTGACCGACCTTTAGAGAATCTTATCGAGGGTAGTCAGGGCTCTGGGAGTAAGTAAAAAAGTAATTTTGCGATTTTTTGACAAAGATTTCAGATTGCGGTTCTACCACTACGAGCGAAAGTCCAGAAGTTACGACGCAAACTAGACAAAAACAAAAAAGCCACGCTGGTGTTAAACATGGACGAAAAGCAGCCAAAACACATGCAAAACATAAAAGTACTGGAAAATACCACAAAAAGGACAAAAATCAGGCCCATCATTAATTATTGTTAGTCAAAAATGATTAAAATGACTGCTTTAAAGCACTAGTGTAACATTTTCCTCTAGGTTGGTGATGAATGTCAAAAATAAATTATTTTTTGAATTTTGAATTTACCTGAAATTGTAAAGGAAAATAAAAGCCCCAAATTTATGGAAAACTACGTATGACCTGCTAGAATTTACCTCTCAGAAGATATGACAGTGTTGGTAGCTCAAAAAAATAAAATTCACCAGATCCGAGTTTCTWGCTGAAAAAAACGTGCTAGAACGCTCAAAAAATGCAAAAATAATATAATTTAGACCTAATTAGTTAATTTTTTCGTTTGTTTTAGCGAAATGTCGCAAAAAACCTGAGATTTTAGTACAAAAACTTTTCATTTTGTAAAAAATGAGCCTCCAAGTTCAAAAACAAAGTCGAACTAAACAAACTAATAAATAATATCAATGTCAATTTATTTTTGATTTTTTTGGCCTGTTCAAACAATTTTTTTCAAAAATATTTTGTTTTTATTTCAAGTACTCGAAAAGTACAAAAATAACCCCCGTTTTTGGCCCATTTTTTTAATTCTTAGCTTGTTTTTAACGAAATTTTGCAAGATAAGTGTATTTCTAGTAGTCTAGATTGCGGTTGCACCACTGCAAGTGAAACACAGAAAGTTATGACGCAAAATAGACAAAAAAGCGATGCTGGTGTTAAACATGGACATAAAAGATCGGAAACATGCAAAACACAGAAGTAATGGAAAATACCACAAAAAGAACAAAAACCAGACTTATCATTAGTAAAAAATGATTGAAATGAGTGCTTTAAAACACTAGTGCAACATTTTCCTCTAGGTTGGTAATCGAATGTCAAATAAATGATTTTTTTCAGACTTACCTGAAGTTGCCGAAGAAAATAAAAGCCCCAAGTTTATGTAAAACTAGTATTTAACAGTAAAATTGTTAAAAACAAGAAAGAATGTATTACAACACATAAATAAGCGAATGAACTTAGAGTTGTCTTAAAACTTAATTCATATTAATATAATATATTTTATATAAAGGTACAATAACAGTTTGGTGATTTTTAAACAGAAACAAAATTTTACGAGTTATCACCATAATCTCTATCACCCACATTGATTCGGTCTGGAGCTGAAGTGACGTTAAACCCCAAGATTCGAGAGTCAACTTTTAACATCCTTGACTTTTTATTTTTCTTATTTTTACCCTACAACAGTAAAGTCAAACAATTAACCACGACGATTGCAACTTACTTTAACTTCTTGGAATTCAGTACTATGTTGCAACGACGGGGTTATTGCCGGTGCCGGCGAACACATATCGTCTTTGTGAGCATTGTTCTTAGGCTTAAACGAGCGCCTTTTCTCCAAGAAATTCGACGCGAATTGCTGCGTTGCCGGACTTTCGCCTAAATACTCCTTGCAGTAGTCTCTCACATCATAAGCTGACTCAATATCACGCAGGAAAGTCACAAATGTGGGAACTAGAATTGACTTTATCAATTTCCGACACCTAAATCACACACCTAAACTCACTATCTACGTCAGCGGAAATATTAGCTAAAGTCTTGTAGCACCAATCCGTAAATTCGTCCTTACTTTGATTATTATTATTATTGACTGATTTTGGTGATTCCTCTTTCTTGGTTTTACTCTTCGATTGCTTTTGTTGTTGCTGCTTAGTAGTAGTCATGGCACTAGTTGAATTACTCTTAGATACTGTGGACGGTTTATTAGAAGCTTTTGTCGGGACCTCATCCCAGAAACCTCCTAAACAACAACTAGATCAAACCCAATTCACACACCCAGAAAATACCCACCAGAATTCGACGACGACCACTGAGAGGTTGAGGAAGCATTTGCCCACGTCAGACTTTGACCATTCCAAATACTACCAGAATTCGACACTGGGGCTTCTTTCTCTTTAAGTTGCGCTGCCATTCTCGCCTCAGCTGTCAACTTTGCTAACCTTTCTTGCTCTTCGGCTTGAATTTCAGCAACTGACTTGACTTTCCGCGGCTCAATCGGCTTCTTAGCCCAATTCAATTGAAGACCGCCAGTTTTCTCAATTTGTTGTTGCTGTTGCAACTCGTGAAGTTGTTGCTTTTGGAGTTGGAGAGCCGCTTCCATTGCACGTTTCTCCTTTTCGGCTTTCTGAATCTCTGTCAAATTTAAATTCGAAGTAAAATTCGATTGGCACCATGGAGCGGTCTTGGAAGCACCTCTAGTCTGATTCTGATTCAATTTTGCAACCTCCGCTTGCTTTCTCTCCTCTTTTTCTTTCTCACGTCTAAAAAAATTCGAAAAATAAACGTCACTAAAACAAGATATTTGCTTTTATACTAAATCACCTGTTCTTCTCTTCTTCGATTTTTTTCAATTCCTCGTTCTTTTTCCTCAATTCTTCTTCGGCTTTGCGCTGTTCTTTAAGTCGTCGTTTCTCTTCYAACTCACGTAGGCGCTTTTCTTCTGCTTCCTTCTTCGCTTTTTCCAATTCTTTTCGGATTTTCTCCTCTTCCTTTTTCTTCTTGTCTTCGGCGGTTTTCCGTTCAGCCTCCTAGTTGCACATTTTTAGTATCACAAAACTTGGATACAATTACACACTTACCTGCTTCTTTTGTTCTTGTTTTCTTCGTTCGTCAGCTTCTTTCTTTGCTTGTTTCTCTTCTTGTTCCTTTCGTTTCTTCAATTCTTTTTGTGATAATTCTTCTTTCGGTTTTTTTTCTTGTTCCTTATCCTGGGGTGGTTGTTCCGTCCCTTCAGATGTTTGCATATCCCACATTGATATAGTCGCATCAGTCTGTTGGGGCCATTGCGTTGAGGTACTCACTGGGGGTGTCCCAAATTGATTCTGTTTCTGCCAAAGTGAATCCAACTAAAAGCACAAAAATCACCAAAACTTCACAAAAATCACTCACAGGCATTTGTCTCTGTTGCTGAAACTGTTTCAAAAAATTCGTAATGGGATCGTTATCCTGTCCTGGTGGTGGTAATTGATCAATTGATGTGTGGGATGTGGGTCGATTTACGTTAATTGGGCCGGGAAGACCCGTTGGTAAATTCCCACCATGCATTCCAGGTAATGTGGGAATTGTGGGATTTTGTAAATTTGGCAAAGTGTTACCCACACTGTCGGGAGGCAAAGATGATGTCAAATTTGTGGGGACTCCACCCCCAGGAAGGTGGTTATGGAGACCGGGAGTTTGCATTCGGTTCTGCAATGAATGCATATTTCCCATTTGGACCAGGAGAGGATCGAGCTGGTTAGGCACACTGCTGGCTGGCTTGTCCACTAGGACTGAACCCGGGAGTTTATTACTCTAAAAAATAAACAATTATTTTCAATTCACAAAAACTAGAAGAAAATTAAATTACAAAACATACGTTGTCAATAACTATACTTAGAAGTGTATAAAGTAACAAATTTAAAAATCAGAACACAAGTCTATCACAAAAACAACTTTCTTGGTTGTAAAATTTTGACCCAAGTAGCCTATGATTAAAATTAAGTTGGCAACATTGAATAATGACAGATGAGATACTGTTGCTAACTCAAAACAATAAAATTCACCAAATTCAAGTTGAAAAAGTTAATACAAATTTTACACCTATTTTCACAATATTACAAAATTACGATTTAAATCTTTAAAAATATCATACAATCTTTCTTTATAAAAATTTAGTGATTTTTGACAAAATCTTGCAAAAAAACAAAGTTTCCAGTTTAAAAATCTCCTTAAACTCTCGGCCTGAATTTAACATTTTGCGAAATAATTGCGTTTCTAAATGCTAAAACACTCGAGAAACGCATAAATAATACAATTTATAACTTGATTTGTTGATTTTTTCGTTTGTTTTAGCGACATCTCGCAAAAAAACTAAGATTTTAGTCCAAAAACGTGTTTAAAGTATTTTTTACAACATTTTGTGATTTCTCGAATTATTCTTGTCTTAATCTTGCTCAAAAACCACTTAAATCAAGTAAAACAAACAAAGTTCACAAAACGAAGTATGTCGAGCAAAACAAACTGAAAATAATATCAATTTCGATTTAATTTTAATTTTTTCTAGCCTGTGTTTAAACATAATTTTTTAAAATTTTCTCGTTATTATCTCAAGAATGTGCTTAACCACTCGAAAAAGACAACAATTACACAGTTTTTGTCTCATTTTGTTAAAATTTTGATTTGTTTTTAACGAAATTTTGCGAAATGAAAACTGAGATTTTAGTATAAAAACGTGCTTTAAAAGACTTTCGACTAAATATTGTGATTTCTCGGCTTATTATTGTTGTAAATTCACTCAATAAACACTTAAATCAAGTGAAAAAAGCAAAATAACATTAATATTAACGATTTTTGTGTTTTTTTAACCGTGTTTAGACAAGGTTTTGCAAAATATATGAGCCTCTAGTTCGAAAACGAAAAAAGTCCAGCGAAACATGCTAAAAAATTATATCAATTTCGATTTAATTTTGAAATTCTTGAAACCAAATTTTTCGAATTTTTTTGTTTTTATCTCAAAAATGTGCTGAAACACTAAAAAACGGGAACACAACACTATTTTTGACCGACTGTGTTGTATTTTGACTTGTTTTTAACGAAATTTTGCAAAATAACTGTGTTTCTAGTTGAAAAATTTTATTACTATTGCATTCGAAAAAAGTGAAAGTAAATTTAAATTGTCATTTTCGACCTTGTTTAGTAAAATCTCGTAAAAAAACAAAAACTATTTTCCAGCAAATTAATTTTTTTTTATATTTGCGAGCAAATATTTTAACCACTAAAAGAATTTGTTATGAAAAGTCGAATTGAAGACCAAACAAATTCCGTATCCAAATTTTATTTTTGCAATTTCCCCCCTATGATTTTCACGAGTCTGTCCTTGTTAGTTGGAAGTAAAAATATCAATGAAAATAAACTGCATTGAATGTTGTAAACCGTAAAAGTTTTTATACAGAAAAAAGGAAACTTCTTGTCCAAAAAAATTATCACTTGTTTGCACATGTCAGTTTAGTTACTGGTGAATTGTGCACATCAATTTGAAATCAAATTGTCAATCAAGTCATTATGGCCAAAGCCAAATTAACTAGTGTACGGACATCGCACTTCCAAGACCGATTTTCACTAAATGTTTGGGCAGAATTCATTGAAGATCACTAAATTGGACTCCACATATTACCTCAACGTTTAATTAGTGCCGTTTATCTGGATTTTTTGGAAAATATGTTGTCCGATCTGTTGGAGGACACATGAGGAATTTACATCAGATTATGCCAAAGTTGTCACCAATAGATTGAACAATCATTTTCCCTAGAAATGGATTGGTCGCCAATGACCACCGCGGTCATCAGATTTAAATACGTGTTTTTTTAGGGTTCACATAAAACAATTGGTGAATTAGTGTACGCAGCTCAAATTTATACCTTCGAAGGGCTGTGTATGCGAACGCAAGCTTCCCTAGCCCGAAGAAGTGTGCATTGCCAACGAATGACCACATTTCGAGCAATTTCTTATAATAGCAAGTATTGACCCACTAACACTGACACTGATCTACCCTAATGTAGCGATAATTTTTTTGTCTTTACGCTGTCTACGTTCCAAAGTTTTTTCTTATGAATGATTGTAAACATCGTATTAAGACATAGGCGGGGACGGGTTTTCAGCCTATTTATTTTTAATTTTAACTCAGAAATAAAGTGCTTTCGACAAAAATTGGAATAACGAAAGTTGTTTCTTTTGACGAGTCCTATTAGTGGTTAAAATATTTGCTCGAAATCCTCAAAAACCCTGTATATTTGGCGAAATGATTAACTGTCTGGTTGAAAAACGTGGAAAATGCTCGGAAAAAGTGCAAAAATAGTATTTGTTCAACCTAATTTACTTTTTATCAATAATATTTATTTTTCAAACACTAAACGAGACTTATTAATTTTGAGCTGATATCTGTCTCTAGATTACTTAATGTTGCCAAGTTGGGAAACTCTTACGTACTTGCTGCATTTGATTAATCATATACATGAGGGGATTTGACGGCGTGGTCTGTTGCATGAAGGGCAAATCAGGCGGTAGTTGTTGTTGCTATAATTTAAAAAAATTAAAAAAAAATCATCCACAACAGCCGTTTCCTCACCTGTTGTTGCATTAACAGCCTTTGTGCGGCCAATTCCTGCTGTTGCAGCGTGAGGGCGCTCCACGGCTCCGCTAAATTCCTCAAAGACACTTGCTGTTTAAACGCTAACTGTGACAAAAACTGATACGGCAACATGTCTTCGGGTAATTTCGCCTCGCTTTTCAACACCGGAAATCTTCGATTCGATAAGAATGGATTTTCGCCCCCACACAAATTAATTAATTCACCCAATAGAAAATACCTTTCGTCACACTCCCGCATTACGTGTAATTGGTTACTAAAATAGCCCGCTTTGTACCATTCGGCCATTTCCACGTTGGCGAATGGCCCTTGTCTGGTACCTTGCGGGTCTTGATAGTACCATTTATCTTGGGAGGGTGGGGCAAGATTGGGGGGTGGTTGCACCCCTGCCACGTCAAAGTTTGTCGACGGTTGTTGAGATTTGGGCGTTTCTTCGTCCACGACTAGCTTTAAGACGAGATCTTCTTGGAGACGATCGAAATCCTCGTCCCCTTTGTCGATGTTTGGGGCGATTRGGTCTTGGGGAGGGCCGTTACTACCCAAAGATTGAGATTTGCTTTCTTCGGAATTTCGCTCGTCTTTTTCGTCGGATTTTTGAGATGTTTTAGATTTATCCTTTTCTGGAGAAGTGCTGTCTTTCGGTTTGAAAACTTCTTCTTTAAGTTCTTTACCACTAGGTTCCTACACAAAAATAAGTTTTTTATTTAAAAACCACTTAAACCAAGTATTTTTGTATGACTTTTTTTTTATAAAAATTACATATAGTTGCTTTAATTTTACCTCACTTTGTATTGAAGTGTCCAAATAATACAATTTATAACTTGATTTATTGATTTTTTTCGATTGTTTTAGCGACATCTCGCAAAAAAACTGAGATTTTAGCCCAAAACGTGTTTAAAGTATTTTTTTTATTAAGAATATGACAAATTAAAAAAACATAACCATATTTAAAAAAACGTCAATTTGACAACTCCTACTAAAAGTATGAATTTTATCAAAGTGAAAAAAATAGAGATTTCAAGAAGAGTTTTACGAGATTTTACAAAAAAAATCAATAACAAAAAACTAACACTGACATTTGTCACAAAGTGCTGTAGACAACTGTAATAATACGTTTCTGTGTCAAAATTACCAATAAAAAATTCGTGTTTAAAAATATTTTGACAATTTAATTAGCTCATAGCTAAATATGAATGTCACGTAAAGCAATCTTGCATTCATTTCTTTCACCAGACACAGAAACTTGAAACACACATTACAGCAATTATTTATAAAATAAATAAAATTTATTTGAAGTTATGTTGGTAACACGGAAAAATGTAGAGACGGAAAATAACAAATGTTAAATTTCATATCTTCTGTCTCAATTTTATTCAATGTTGCCAACTTAATTTTAGATTCACAGCCTACTCTAACAATTAAAAATTTTATAAATCAGAATATAAAAAAAATGAAAAACTCACTTCTTTATATTTATCACTATCCTCGGACCTCGAAAGCGACGTAGTGGACTTGGAAGAGGACAACGACGGGGGATTCCCTCTTGGAATATGTTGTTGTGAGGTGGACTTTTGTAACATCTCCTTTTTATCCCTTTTACCATCCTATTCAAATTTTGACTTATTATTAACATTTTAAACTTTGTATGGAAATCACCTGTTCGTCATCGGAACCATGAAAGGCGCCCCTTTCATCAAACGTGCCTCCGCCTTCCGTGGGGTTCTCCGTGGCCCACTCCGGCAGATGATCCTCGTTATCCCACGACCTCCGTAACGGCGCCCCTCTGTTATTCTCGTGCCAATTGGCGCGTGCCCCCCTTTCAGGAGGCCCATTTCTTTCCTCCGAGTCGCCATCTCCACGCCAGCTCGCCGAACGCCCCCATTTCTCATGCAAAGCCCTACCGGAGCTGATATTACGCCAGCCGTCATCCTCTTCATTACTATTCCTGACTCTTCGCCAATTATCGATGAGGGCTGACCTAGAGGCAAACTCTTTGCGGGGGCTCCAGTCGGGCTGTTCCCCGTTGCCCCATCCGCTGTCGTATGAAGAGGCGGCCCGACCGTAGGCTGGGTAGCCGCCTCTGCCTCTGTTGATACGCCCCCCGCGCTCTAGAGAGCTTCCTCTGCCTCGTGGCGCCCCACTGATGCTTGTGGGGCGACTTTGCCAGCCCCTCTGCTCCTCCTCCGTGGTCGGGAGGAGGGCCAGAGGGACCATCGTTTGCTCGGAATATAGCGTTTTGAAGGTGAGGAGGGACGCGGGGGGCTTTGCGTTGCGTTCGAACAGCGCCAACATTTCTTCTCTACCGTACCTTGAGAAGGTTTTAGATAGATTTTTTTAATTTTTGCATTTCTTTTACTTACCTATACTCTGCCAACTGGTAGCGCGTGCCACCGCTCGGGCCTCCGCCCCCGGCGGTCGTGGTGCCTTCGGAACGGAGGTTCCGGATCCAAGCCGGACCAAAATTCATCGAGGAGTCGGTCATACTGCAACAGAACGGAAGCGTGAAGATTTCATAACTGAATAAGCCATATTTTAGACTAAAATGGAGGTGACTATTTATAGCAATATACCAGATCACCGTTAATCAATGTCGCTGAAGGTGTTGGAACAAACGCCGAAACCCATCGAATTAAGAACTATATCTGGAAAGCATAAACTCGACACAAAAGCCCCAGGCTAAGTCTAGCTGGCACTCGAAAGTGACAAGATACTCGGGTTAATGCATGGATTTTCGCCGAAAAAAGCAATTTTTTTTAATCATAGTTACGTCCGTTTTCGGTATTTTTGCATTTCTTTATTCGATAAATTGGCTGTTACCTGATTATAACGTTTTACACTTGATAATATGCTATCAACATAAATGGCTGAAGCAAAATTGTAGGTTAACGCGCATGTGCTTAATTGTCAAACAACAGCAAAACACGAAAAACCCCAACTTTTAAATTTGTTTCGAACTACATTTTTTCAAATAACGACAAACAGGACTAACATATTTGAGCCTTTACGTATTCAATTATTATTGTGCCATACAATTACCATCTATACACGATTTTAACTAATTGTCTCACCTTTTTTGTTTCAAAGACAATTTCATTTTAATAAAATTATTAAAATTAATAATCAACGTTTTTGATTCTTGTGCACAAATAAATATGTTTCCACAATTTTTAATTAAAAGATAACAATACAAAGTTACTGTCCACCAAACCATCTGCTTTATTTTATTACCTTTTGGCTTTTACTTGATAAGAGATAWTTTTTTTTATTTCGTTATCATCGTAAATTAAAAAAAAAGCGGTCAAGTACWTTTATAAACGTATGTMTTGCATAGATCGTTACGTTTATTTAAATGACAAATTATTCATTACAAAAGTACTTTAAACATTGTAATAATACTTCCGGGAATACTATAACTGTTAACTTTCAATTTGTTTCAGAAAAAAAAAATAGTTTCAATCCATATTTAAAGCAAGATGAGTGTTCAAAAATTGACAAGTACTGACAAGTACTATTCACGACATACGTCCATACTTTTATTTCAACTTAATAAATTAAAAATTACAGTATTTTGCATATCTGTTATTACATTTCCATTGTTGATTATTAATTTAAGTAGATTTAAATTTAAAAAGTTAAAAACCCTGTGTTGCGTCTACGGTTACGTCTAGGTTACGTCATGTAAACAAAAATTTGAGAGTGGGGATACAATTTTCGTGTCGTTTCTTGTCGTTTGTCGTTTCACAGCAGTTCGTGTCATATTATTACGAAAGGTGTTTATGCTTGTCACGAAATTAATTTTTTGAATAAAAAAACGAATTTTGTAAAAACACAACTTGTAACGTAAGTAAATACAATTTTGTCACTTATTCTCACTCGTGATTCAAAAAAATCTACAATTTGTGCTTATGTTCCAGAGCCGGCTCTAGAATATTCCACCATGCCTGCCCCTATTGATATTTCCCCAAATAAAGACAACGGAGTCCTTAAAGAAATCCTCCGGGAGGGTACAAGCGAGGAATGCCCTCCCCCTGGATCTAAAGTCAAGGTTCACTACACTGGAACCCTAACCGATGGTACAAAATTCGACTCTAGTAGAGACCGAAATGAGCCTTTTGAATTTGAGTTGGGCAAAGGTACAATTTATGGCTGATTGGTCCAAAATAATTGTTTATTTTTGCCACAGGGAGTGTGATTAAAGCATGGGACATTGGCGTGGCCACTATGAAAAAAGGTGAACAAGCCGTGCTCACGTGTGCCCCTGAATACGCCTATGGCAAGTCTGGCAGCCCACCAACTATTCCCCCCGACGCCACCTTAAAATTTGATGTCAGTAGTTTGTAATTATTTCAACGTGTTTAAAACAATTTCATTTTAGGTTGAAGTGCTCAGTTGGAAATGCGAGGATTTGAGCCCTAAGAAAGACGGAGGCATTGAACGGGCCCAAATAACGCCAGGAGAAGGGTACACGAACCCCAATGATGGGGCTACCGTCGAAGGTAACTTCGTACATCAGTCGAAATAAGTTTTGATTGCAATTTTAGTGCATCTTATTGGGAAATACGAGGGGCGTGAATTTGATGTGCGTGATGTCATGTTCACGGTTGGGGAAGCGTCAGAACAGAATGTTATCCTCGGTATTGATAAAGCGATTGAAAAATTCAAAAAAGGGGAAACTTCTAAGCTTACAATCAAGCCGCAATATGCATTTGGATCTCAGGGTTGTTCAGAATTTAACATTCCACCCAACGCAACGGTTGAATACATCGTCACGTTGAAGAATTTCGAAAGAGTTAAAGAAAGTTGGGCTTTGGACACGAAAGAACGTGTGGAACAAGCGAAAATCTTCAAGGAGAAAGGAACAAATTATTTTAAAGCTAACAAATTTCATCTGGCTATTAAAATGTACAAAAAAATGACTGAGTATTTAGAGTCTCAAAAAGGTGCGTCTCACACTTGTGCAATTTTGTTTTAATTGAGTTTTTCTAGATCCAGAATTGGATAAGGAAATTGAGTCATTGAATTTAGCGGCGCATCTCAATTTGGCGTTATGCTACTTGAAAATAGACGACAATTTTGAGGCCAAAGCCTCGGCAAGCGCGGCTTTGAAGCAGGATCCAGACAATGTTAAAGCTTTGTTTAGAAGAGGTCAAGCTTTACTGAAACTAGGGGAACCCAAACTAGCCTCAGAAGACTTCCAACAGTGTTTAAAACTCGATCCRGGCAATAAAGCGGCGCAGAGTCAACAAGCTCTTTGTGTGAAAACCCTCAAAGAACAGTTACAGAAGGAGAAGAAGGTTTATGCTAATATGTTTGACAAATTTGCAAAGATGGATGCTCAGGTGAAAACTAATTGATTTTCTTCTAGTTTTAATTGTCGAGACGGAGTTTGAATAAATGTTTTTAACGAAATGTGGTTTTATTGTGTAGAGGGAAGAGAAAGAGAAAAAGAAAGAGCCAAATGTGATGTCGTCAGTGGGTGAATGGGGTAAGGAGGATCGTGAGCGAGAGCCGAGTGAGTTTGAGAAGGAAAATCCGAATATTTTGTTGCTTAATGGTAGTGGAGAATTTAAGGACATGTAGTTTTTGTTTTCCAATTGAATAAAAGTCGTTTCAGTGGGTGCGTTTGTTTGACAACTAAAATACTGTTTTACGCGTCATATCCGTTCACGTATAAATAGATCTTTACTTACGCGTGCAAATGAACTGTTGAAATTTTGACTGAGTTGTGAAATTCACATTTTCAATTTTTGGCTTGCGAAAATTGACACGTTTTTTGACATCTGTAAGTCACAAAATTCTTGTTAAAAGTATTTTGGGGATTAATTCCGATTCGAATTCGAGTTAATTCGTCTTGTGGGCGCAGATTCGTTTAAAATTTGCGCCATGAGTGGGTTTTTAGGAACAAAGAGCATCGTTGGGTTGGTAAGATTGCCGATAATTTTCATTTATTAGTGAAAAATAAAAATGGCGGAGCCTGATCTAAACGTCGACAATTTAATACAAAGATTATTAGAAGGTAAGAAAAGGATTTAATTACTCTTTTCCGCTTAAATGTGTTAGATTAGGAAGTTGAGGATTACTAGAGTACAAGTGCATGGTCGAATATTTTTGTGACTTTTGACCAGTCAAAATAGAAGACATAAAGCCTTTACTCGACCAAAATAAGTGCACAATTACTGTTCAGGGACTTTTTTAAAACACTGAGTGCTTTTTAACACTTTTTAGTTGAGTTTTGTATAAATAAATAGTTTGAGTGTTTATTTTTGTGCTGCTTTTCGTGTGGTGTGGGTACAGGGTATAAAACTCTGCGAGAATTACAAGAAAACCAGGATGTTAAGAAGAAATCTAAATTCAAAGATATGTTCATATCTTCCGAACGTAAGGTCACATCTATAATAGCAGTCTAGCTTAGATATTTGTTATTATCGTTCATCAGTAACGTCGTCCGTAAAGTAGTTGATTTTTGATGCACACATCTATTGAGTTAGTTTTGCTTGCTGTACACCTTTTTTACAAATTTCAAATTTACTCATCATGCTGCAGGGCCTTAACAGAAACACTTGATTTGGTTTCTTAAAGTTTGCATTGTTTTTGACCAAACGACACAGAAGGGTATTTTAAAAACTTTGTTCGCAGTACGAGGATGTCGTCCCGGAAAGTCTGTACAAATGTCCGAAGCGGAAGTCCGCGGACTTTGCTTAAAATCGCGAGAAATTTTCCTCCAACAGCCCATACTGCTCGAACTCGAAGCCCCTCTAAAAATCTGCGGTAGGTCCCCAAACACGTTGAAATCAAATCTCAATTTAGGCTTCTAGGGGATATTCACGGCCAATACACAGATCTGCTCCGTCTGTTTGAATATGGGGGCTTCCCTCCCGAAGCCAACTACCTGTTCCTTGGCGACTATGTCGACCGCGGCAAGCAATCCCTAGAAACCATCTGCCTGCTCCTGGCCTACAAAATTAAATATCCTGAAAACTTTTTCCTCCTCAGAGGAAACCACGAATGCGCTTCAATCAACCGAATATACGGATTCTACGACGAATGTAACCACAAACCCCACAAATTCGTTCTCTCATTAGAAATATTMCAGGCAAGAGGCGGTACAACATCAAATTGTGGAAAACCTTCACCGATTGCTTCAACTGCTTGCCAATCGCTGCGATAATCGACGAGAAAATCTTCTGCTGCCACGGGGGGCTCAGTCCGGACCTGCAAGGCATGGAACAGATCCGGCGCATAATGCGGCCAACCGATGTACCTGACACAGGCCTGCTGTGCGATTTGCTGTGGTCCGACCCTGATAAAGACGTGCAAGGTTGGGGCGAGAACGACCGCGGGGTATCGTTCACTTTCGGCGCCGATGTCGTCAGTAAATTCTTGAACAGACACGACCTAGACTTGATCTGTCGCGCCCATCAAGTGGTGGAGGATGGGTACGAATTTTTCGCAAAAAGACAACTAGTCACCCTTTTCTCAGCCCCGAATTATTGCGGCGAGTTTGACAACGCGGGAGGGATGATGAGTGTTGATGAAACGTTAATGTGTTCTTTTCAGGTGAGGTTTTTCTTAGCTTTGTTTAGTTTGTGATTTTTTTGTTTAGATATTGAAGCCGTCGGAAAAGAAAGCCAAGTATCAGTACCAAGGAGTGAATTCAGGACGTCCGTCAACACCTCAGAGAAACCCAWCAACTAAAAAGAAATAAAAACGAGTAATTGACACTTTTTTTTCATTTATATTCAACCAATGCATTTGTAACGTTATATTCTCAATACTGCTTGACAGTCAGTCGCATTATGTTGAAGTATTATTATTTTGTATATTTATTTAGTTTTGTTCATTTTTTTTAATTAAATTGTGATTGTTTTGACTGATTAGGAGATTCGTTTTTTTTGACTGACTGTTCCTATTTCTATTGTAAATAAACACATTATTTTATTAATTTATTTAGGAACGAGACCAGTGATTGGTGTATTATTTAAAAACACAATTGTTAAATCTTGCTTGCATTTACATGTGCATCATAAAGTGGCCCAGCCAAAGACTTTATGATTGGTCATTTTTTCAATGTTGTAGTTGAATCATTTTCATTTGGTTCCTAAATATTGCAATAGCATYTTGACATTTTGCAATCACCTCTTTGTATAGAAATTGGCATTAACGCGAATTATTTCACTCGTACTATTGTTTATGTTTCATATTTTACTTCATCCTATTGACAAATCTATAATTACACCTAATGTACTTTAAATTTGACAAATAAATCTATATATTACTAGCCTCGATTATTTTTTCGAAAACCCCAACTTGTACAAAAAAAGGGAATTGAAAAAAAAGATACAGGGTGAATTTTTAAAAAAAAGTAAGCACTAAAATTTTTATTCATGACCAGATTTCAAAAATTAATACAATTTAAGCTAAAAATTTTAGAATTTTGTCAAAGTATACGAGGGAAGATCAGTATTTACGGTCCCTAACATAGTAGGGTTTAAGTGACGTTGACATAATTTGATATATTTAAAGGTTCATCTTTTGTCACTTAGTTGGTGCAGTTTCAGATTTCTTGCTTGTTTCATTTTAATTTTATTTGAAAGCCAATTGCAAGTAGTCAGTCGTTTTTGCAAAAAATGGAGAAACCTGAAGTGCACGCTGTTATTAAATACCTGCAAAAGAAAGGATTGTCGCCAACGSAGATTTACGAAGATATGGTGGCTGTACTGGGRGAGAATGCTTCTTCTTACCAAGTGGTAAAAAATATGTCTCGAGAGTTTAAACTGGGAAGGCAGACGTGTGAACAAGCAAAAGGTGCTGGTAARGTTATGGCCACAATTTTTTGGGATGCGGAAGGATTCCTGTTGGTTGATTATTTAGAGCGTGGACACACGATAACAGGCTACTATTATGCCAATTTAATTTCAAAACTTCGCGAGTGTATTAAGGAAAAAAGACGGGGAAAKCTGAGTAGGKGAATCCTGTTCCATCAGGATAACGCACCGATTCAAAAAAGTCATGTTGCAATGACTGCTATTTATGAAGCAGGATTCGAGTTCTTGGAACACCCTGCTTATTTATCAGACCTGGCCCCTAGTGACTTCTATTTGTTCCCAAAATTAAAAAAATATCTTCGTGGCAATAAATATGGTGACGATATGAAGTGATGTCTGCCGTAAACAACTGGTTAGAGGAGCAACCTAAAGAATTTTTTTCTAAGGGTGTCCGAGCATTGGAACATCGTTGGGAAAAATGCATTGCAGTTGCAGGGGACTATGTAGAAAAGTAATCATGTAATTTTTGTTATATCTTGTGTTCTTGTATATCAGGGACCGTAATAACTGATCTTCCCTCGTATTTTGGGCTGTATTCAATTTTCTTATTTTAAACTGGGACTCATATTTTGTTTTTCATAATTTGGTAGGTACAGGTCTTGAGACAGACATGTGCAATATATTCTACTTTTGCTAAAAAGTATTTTTTAAAAGTTATCAAAGTTAAAAAAAAAATAAAAGTCAATAAATCTAGTTGCGTGGTGTCAAATAAAACAATCCCGTTATTGTAATGCCAAAAAGCAGCAAATGAATATTTTTTCAAATTTTTAATAAGAAATGACAATAACAATTACCTATAACAAATCAGAAAATCATCTAATTATATTAATTTATNATATTAACTTTTATTTTTTTTCAACTTTTCAACAATAATTTTTAGTAAAACAAATTAATATCTTTCAAATTATGAAAAAAATATGGGTCTATTTAAAATTAGGAAGTTGAATAAAATTCTAAAATTGTCAGCTTATGCTAAATTAAAAGCCATTTAATTTGTTTTTTTAGGTTTTGCAATCTGGCTGTAAATAAAAATTCTACAACGCCTAACGTATTTAAACTGATTAAAAAAATAAATCGTCGTTCAAAAATTCAGAAAAAAATATAACTTTTTGATGCCCTTATCAGCAATTTTCTTATCAAGTTGAAATTTTCTATCTGTGTTGTTTAAAAATAAATTTAACAAAATCTCTATTTTTAAACGTCTTACTTTTTTATAAAAAAAACTGTGCGGAAAGGTTTTTTGATTTATTTATGATGTATTGTAGATTATCATGGACCTAGTATTAGATAATAGTAACTCCATGTAGATTACCTATACGTTACTGTATTTTTTCATGCAATTCGAACGATATTTTTTCATAAAAAAATAAAAAACTATTGAATTTTACAACAATCCATTGCACATATTCAAAATGAGATAATAACTCTGTGTTACTTAACTATTCTAGAAATTCTCAAAAATAAGTTTTTTTAATAAATCGTGTTATCTCTCTAGACATTTGTGTGACAAAAAAACGGAAAGCCTTGTAGGTCCATGCTTAATTTACAACAGGTCAACAAACAACAATAAAAATTAATTCCTTAAATATTTTATACCAATATGGGCGTTTACCAAATGTAATTTAGCAGAATTTTTACTCAATCTGTGAGATAAGCAAATACGTTTACAAGTTAGAATTTATCAAAAAGTAAATAGCGTTATCAAAGTGTTACAAATAATTCTTCACCAAAACTGTGAAATAATCACCTGTCACATACGAGTAAATTTTATCACAACAGTAACTTTGAAAGGGTTTTAAGGCGTAATATTTAGCATTTTTAATTTTGACGTTTCATTTCCTCTCCTAATAAATCACACAATAAAATAAAACTAATTTATTGTGCTTAGAGCAGAAATCCGGCGTCGGACTCTAATGAAATATCGAAGCGATAAAATAAGCAATAATTTCCACCGGACTGGAAAAACTGGTATTCCAGACACTAGACCTAGATCATGAAAAAACCTTATATACCTATTTTGGTGTTATCAAAGAGAAATATTTTTTAGTCACTCGTATCATTTGTTATCTCTATTGTTTCGACACATTTTGGTAAATGTTTACTTCYAGGTATTTTAATGATTGCGCATTATGTCGTAAATGGCAATTTTTCTAAATATTTCTGAATCATTTGAATCAACCAAATGAACTTTGCAAGTATTAAAGTCAAAAATGATCACACGTATTTTTTATGGAATTCCTGGTAGATCAGGCAATGTTTGAGAAGCTTTATCAAACTGTGTCAAAGCCCCAGATTCAATTACATTTTCTGTTGACTTTAAACATTAAATATGTACATTGTTAACAGGTGCAAAGCCTCGAAATTGTCTCAAATAGTTCTTCCTCAGTCTTATTGAGTGACAAATCGGTCCGATAATCCATTGCAAAATTTTCTAAATTAATCGATGAAACAAGTACACAAATGTCTCATCGACTTTTATCTATCTTATCAGTAATTACGATAAACCAACATTAGATGAATCAGATAGTCCGAGCACCTGTAACAGAAAAGATTCGAATTTTCTCTCATACATGATTTTTTTCTGAAACTCGAAAATCGTCAACGAAAATGTTGACAAAGTGTTTGTTAGTGCTTCTATTAAGTGCATACAATCAAGCTCAAGAAATAAACACTAGCGATGTGGAAATTTTGACAAAAAGTGACCCACAACCCCCGCTTATWAACCAAGTCGATGAAAATCCGGGTGGTAATGACGAACGACCGGAACAACCCCAAGACGACAGAGGTGAGTCAAAATAGCAAGTGATAACACAATTGGTACTAACAATTAATGTTGTAGAAAAAACAGTCCCTAATAACAACACCAATTTAAATAACTCTGACGATGCGGTTGAAGTTTTTAAATCGCCAGATGTAGTTTTGCGTAAAGGGCCTAATGGAAAATATATGATTGATTATGGCGACAATTACGGTTAGTTTGCTTTGCTTTGTTCACGACTTATCAGCTTATCAGGCTTAATCACCGCCATTTTTAGGGCGGCTCTTGCTCTATTTCTCTAAATTCCTCTGCTTCTCAATCACATTTCTTGATTTCTTCTTTCTGATTCTTCTTTTTTTTATCTTAAATTCCGTTTTTTTTTCGTTGCTTTGATCTAAATTACTAAAATGCTTGTAATTTCTAATACAAATGCAGAAACTAATAACAATAAGATGAAAAAAATATTCTTAATTTCTGTTTCAATATTTTGAGTTAGTAAAATGGTTAAAAAAAATTGCCGTGGAAAAACGTCCTGTTATCATTTTATGGATTGATATCTGATAATAGATTTCGCAGGAAAACACGTCGCAATATTTTTAATCAAAAATTTTATTATACTCGACTTGTTTTATCTCTATTTGTTTAGTGACCAAAATTTAAGAAACTGATGAGTCAATTCTTTATAGACCCAATGACCTCAGACTATGCCCCTCAAGAAGACAGTCAAAGAGGCCGCGCCGGGCCCCCTTACGTTATTACCGAAGCTCGGCTCAAAGAAATCAGGGAACACTTCATGTACCCTTTTTACGACAAGGGTGGCAATGCTGATAACGAAGGCGATTATCAAAAAGCCATTCAAACATCAACCCCTCAAGTGCACAAAAATCTTAACTTCCAATTGCCCTTCTTCGGATTTAGATACAACTACACCCGAGTCTCTCTAAACGGCTATTTGGAATTCAGTGACCCCCCTCAAAATTACGAAACTTACCCTTTGGTATTCCCCGTGAAAGACTGGCCGAAAAGGAACGATCCGGCTTTTATCGGGATTTTTTACAGCAAATGCCGGATTGGTAATTTGCGAGTTGAGGATGTGGACCAGCGAAAACCCGGGGTGTACTTTAGACTTGAGCGGGATCTTAGGGAGAGAAACGACCAGATGGGGGTCGAAATTAGGGAGCGACTGAAGTGGGATATTCGGGAAGGGGTCATCGGGGCTGATAATTTTAGGCCCAAACATGCCATTATAGCCACTTGGAAGAACGTTTCTTTTGCTGGAGGCTTCGCCAATGCGCTTTACAGAACAAACACGTTTCAGTTGGTTTTGGCTACTGATGAAGTCTACACTTATGCTATGTTCAATTATTTGAACCTTGATTGGACTAGTCACACTGAAGCTGGGGGCGACACCATCAATGGTGAAGGTGGTATTCCAGCCTATGTGGGATTCAACGCCGGAAATGGTACCAGATCGTACCAATACATGCCATACAGTCAAAATTCAGTCATCAGAGACTTGACTGGTACCGGTTTCGGCAACGACAAGAAAGGACGCCACTATTTCCGAATCGACGAAAATATTTATCTCGGTAGTTGCAACAAAGACATTGATGGTGCCAATTTGGACCTGTTTTTCGCCCCCGAAAGTGGCAACATGCTTGGTGGTACCATTGTTAACATCACAGGGCCTTGTTTCAAACCAACCGATCAGATTATTTGCAAATTTGACACTGCTGACGAGGTCTATGGGGTTGTGGTTAGCAGCAATAGGGCCATTTGCGTCCAACCACCACTTCTGGTCGAAGGCTACGTCAAGCTTGAAATCGCAATTGGGCCTGGAACGTATAAGTGGAAGGGGAAATATTATGTTGGTAAGAAAAATTTCACTCAATTTCGGCGGCAAAAATTTTGATTTAATGATAATAACAGAAACCCCGGCAACTGCATCTCAGAAAATCTTCTTCAACGACATGTCTTACAACGAGAAATCCCCAGCGGAGATTGGGATTACTTGGGAAAAACAGAATTTAACAACGAACGAAAACGCCAATATCCGAATTTCGCTGTGGGGGTACCGGGAAACAAGCATCCGCCCCGAATTCCTCTACATCACTGATCTGGCAAGCAATGTCCAAAACACGGGATCGTACAAAATCATCCCTTCGCAATACAAGAACCGCAACAACGAAAAATTGATCGATCTTCAATTTGGTTTCATTCAAATCAACTTGACTGAATCAATTCCTGTGAAGAAAAATGATGGGCAAGGAGGCGAGGTCAAAGTAACCCCACTGATATGGAGTCGCCCCATTCCTCTGGGGTGGTACTTCGGGCCGCAATGGGAACGCAAATACGGCTCAAATTGGCCCAAGTATCTCTGCGACAATTGGCTCAAAGACGACAGATATTTAAAGAACTTCGCCAGCGAACTGCCACAGTGTCCTTGCACCTTGCAACAAGCCTTAGCTGACAAGGGGCGATTCATGCCCGATTTCGACTGCGATAAAGACGCCAACCCCAAGTGCTACTTCCACCGACAAGCTGTGCATTGCGTCAAAACAGGCTCACCTTCGTACGTATTTCATAAGTTTATTCTAAAATCCTGGGGTACTAAATCCACATTTCGGTTTGGCGGTAAATCTTCTTCAGGGGCTAGGGGACGAATATAGAAATTACWTAAAAGTTAGAAAATTGTTACATAACATTTATTACTCTCACCTTTGATTCTTTTCTGATATGTTATCATTATTTGAGTTCTTGAAGAAAAATAATTAAACCAGAAAACTCACACGAAAACAATGACTAACCCACTAGATTTTCAAAATTTCACAATAGTAACTTTTGGGATCGGGGTTGGTAGTTGAAATTAATATTTAATTAGATGGGATAAAATTAAGACAAGGTGCTTAACTAATGCATTTAAATCGACTCTGCACTGCTTTGTCTTTCCCCAAAAAATGGTTCATTATAAATAATTTATTTTTCAATTTACACCAGACATTATTAACGTTGGTAGTTTGTTTAAGCCGGTAATGTAGTTCGCTGTTTGGCTTATTTAGCGCCCTATTCAAAATATTTTTTTAATTTAGCTTGCAAGGAGCTGAGCAGCAGTGCTGCTACGACAAAAACCACTACTTGATGTTGTCCTACGACCAGAAATGGGGCTCCTATCCGCGCCGTAGCCACAATCTGGGCTACATCCCCTGGTACGAATCCACCAAAGTCCCGACTCTGTCCCAATGGTACAACGACATGATCCCCCGTTTCGTTTGCTGCTTGTGGCAAGAGGAAACCGCCGTGGGGTGTGAAACCCTCCGATTTGAAAGACGCCCAACTCAAGATTGTGTGGCTTACCAAGCCCCGGCAGTCGCTGGTGTTTATGGCGACCCCCACATCATCACTTTCGACGACCTTCCATACACTTTCAACGGAAAAGGCGAATTTGTTTTGGTCAAGTCCGCAAGTGTGAGAAATCGGTTGGAAATCCAAGCCAGATTCGAGCAAATGCCGATGAATGCGTACGGGGAAGTCAGGGCCACGCAACTCACTTCGGTGGTRGCGAGAGGTAACAGCACCACGATTATTGAGATCAGGAGAAGGCCCCAGGAGGCGCGGTGGAGGTACAGACTTGATGTGATCGCTGATCGAAGGAGGGTTTACTTCGATAGACCCTCATTGAAGTTTCAACATTTCCCCGGAGTTACTGTCTACACCCCAACTTACATCTTCAACCAATCGGAAGTTGTTGTAATGTTTGATTCAGGGGCTGGTTTGGAAGTTGTGGAAAACAACGGGTTTTTAACAGCGAGGGTTTACCTTCCGTGGTCATTCATTGTAAGAATTTTTAGTTTTAACTCCCCTTGAAACGTTACTAATGAATTGTTACAGAACCAAACTCGGGGGCTTTTTGGTAATTGGAGTTTCGATAATAGGGACGATTTTACTCTCCCCGACGGTAAGACAACTGCAATTACGACAAATTTGAACGACATGGCTAGTGTTTACACCAATTTTGGCATGAAATGGATGCTGGATGATGTGGGAGATGACGACAAAGGAGCAGCTCTTTTCTTCCGAGAGCACGGGAAATCTGCCTCCTCGTACAACAATAAAACGTTCCTTCCCGAGTTTAGGATGGCAGTGGAGGAATTAATCCCCGAGAATCGGTCCGAATATCGCAACAAAGCTTACGATTTATGTACTTCATCAAATTACGAATGTTTGTACGACTACGCCATGACTTACAACAGAGAAGTGGCCCACTTCTCGGCCAATTACAAAGCTTCAATCACCCAACTCAAAGAGATAAATAAGGATAATATCGTCTCGTGTGGTGTCTTRGAAACCCCCCGATTCGGCCGCAAAGACACTTTCCTCTTCGTCCCAGGAACTAAAGTTACTTTTGAATGCAGCCAAGACTTCATTCTAGTCGGGGACCAAAGACGCGAGTGTCTGTCGACCGGGGAGTGGAACATCCCAGAGTATGGATACACCGAGTGTTTACGTAAGTGTTTCACACGCAGTTTTGCATTTAATTGAGTGATTAGGCCATCAGGAGTATTCGTCGAGAAAGGCAGCGATAACTGGAGGCATAGTACTAGCAGTCATTTTACCAATTTTACTAATAATAGCATTTTGTGCGTTTACTTTGTTTAAAAGACTCGCAAATGATAGAAGTTCGTGGCAGTACAATGCCGCCCCCCTTGTTAAAAGTTCACGACCGTTAAGTCCCATGTCGGATGATGAATATTCGCTCCGGAGCCCTGCTCCGAGTGACCGGTCGAGTACGAGCAGTATGGGGAAAAAGAGGAGAAGTTACGATAAGGTTTACCGCACTCATGAACCCCTTGAAGGGCTGCCTGAGACAGAGTTCGAGGAGAAGGCCTGGGATCCCAATGAACCCGATTTTGAACCAGACAGTAAACCCACAAGTCCGACTTCGGTCATTTACACTGAACCCTTCAGTAAACCTGACTTAGTCAAGTTCCAGTCAAATCCGAGTTTGAACCGATTCACTTACAACTCCGATGATTACACTTTGCCGGTGAAAAAGAACCGGATGAGTAGTCAGAGTAGCATAGTAACCGATGTTTAGCTTCCTAGCATGTGGAATATGCTGTACTATTTCATTATAACTGTACAATTTTTTAAATAAACTTGTAAATCACATAGTTGAAGAATAGTAAACGGTCTATTTCACATGTTGGGAGAAAACTGCTGTAAGATTGGTATAAATGACGGCTCCTTTCCTATGTGTGGAATGGATCATTTACTATGGCTTTATTTATCAGCCTCCTTGAAATTTACCGATAAGTATGCAATTTTCTCCCCCAGGACAACAAGAGTATTCGCAACGTCAAGCTGGTATTGCGTCCGGTATCGTCCTAGCTGTTATTATCCCCCTCGTCCTTTTATTCGTTTATATCGCGTATAAATTTTTCGAAAAACGACAAAAAGAAAAAGAGGAAGAGGAACAGGATGCGCTGAATTACGAGGCACAGAAAAGGTATTTTCCAATCTGTCGTGTGTAACTTAAATTAATTAATTTGTTCGCAGGGAAGCCCAAGAAATTGCCGCTAGAAAATTAACCGCAGGGGAGCATTTCGATGATGACACGGCCAGTAGCATTGTCAGTGGGGGCAAAGAAACCACAATCGATTAAATCTTGTTATGACATTGAGGATGTAGTTTTTAGTTTTTAGAATATTAATAGTAAGAGTTAGTTAGGTTTTTAGATTTTAGGAAAGTATCTAACACTGCTGTTGTACAAAATATTATTCTCTTTTTATTTGTGTGATTTTTAATAAAGATTTAGAACAAAAACGCGCATTAATCCGTCATCAATCATGTAAAATAATAAGAAACGTAGGTGAAATCACAGATAAGAAACTTATTTATAATGAAAGTCTCAGTGTTTTGCATAATGTTCTAGAATGCAATTTTCTCATTATTTTATGAGAAGAAAAGATTTTTTTTCTACTTCGTGTTTTTAAGAACACAAATACAAAGTATTGAATTAAACGTTTGTTACTTAAACTATTTATTTGAAAGTTCTGCAAAATGTATAACTTTTTCAAATGACAACTCACTGTAAAACCGTTTTTTACAAACTTATGATCCAAGGTTTACAACTATGTAGTCTGTTTTTTTTAATGGAAATGCCAAACAGTCTTAACGTTGGCACCACTAGTAAATTCATTTACGGTAATTTTAAATAAAGGAAGTTGGCAGTTCCGGTTTTTTGAATTAATTTGAAAACAATGTCATTAAACCTCAACACAAAAAATCGTCTAAGAAAATTTAGAGACGAAACACCAAAAAAGGAACTAATTCGGTACGGCTAACAGTTTTTAGAAATTGGTAAAACGAATAGTTCGCAAGTAGGAAGTTAGAAAAAAGGCCCGTTAAAATGTAGATGCAATTTGTAATGCAGGTTTGCTAACCAAATTCTATTTTTAGGAAGAAATTGAAAAGAATACAAAATAAACATGAATGAGAAAGAACCTCGGAAAGAACGCAATTAAATTAGTGTTTTTTGCATCGTTTTTGAGAAACGAGTTGTTCATMATTTTTCATCTTATGTACGACTACCTACTTATTATAATTTTTGAAGGAATAACAGTGGTTTTGAAATATTATTTCATACACCAATGAACAATATTTTTTTTAATAGTAAACATATGTTTAGTGTCAAAATTCAGTCATTTCTGACAACGTCAGTTCGCCACGAGATTTGGACCAAGCTTTACCTACTTGTATCGTTTGCTAAATAATTTTTTTCTGTATATACATCCTTTTTTTAAGTTTTTCTAGAAAGAACCTCATTTTTGTTCACAACGTTGTACTTACTTGCAGTGTGTTTCTATCAAAATTGTTAGCACTGAATTCTGTCTTTAGACCTTAGGTAATGATGTCTGTCCTCGGGTATTTAATTATAGTGCTTCTTTGAAAGCTCTATAATTAAATAAGCAAACAGACACACAAAATTCATAAAAGTCAAAATTTTGACAACATCTCAATTTAAAAACATAACCATAATTTTTAACAAAATTTCTAGGGACAAAAACAAAGAGCAAACAAAATTTGTGGCTATGTGGAGACAAGCTGTTAAAATTCACGGATTTTCGCCCGTGTAAGGAAGTTTCGACAGCTGTTTGGCATTTCTCAATACGAAACGTCAGATTATTTTTAAGAGATTTAAAGCAAGTTTAAGCCTTGTTGAGTCTAATTCGAAGTATAAATATTGTATTCAACTCGTTTGAGTGTAAATCGGACGCTTTATTTCACTGAGTGGATTATTAAACCACAAATGTAACGAGTGGTTTATCATCGACAAGGTGGAATAAATAAGCGTCCGATTTACACTCAAACTCGTCGAATAAATAACWATTTTTTTTGTTTCAATAATTTTTTTTTCTGTACCAACGGTAAATTCAAAAATTACCACTATTGCACTTTAAAAACTTAAATTTACCGCATTTTTAAAATCGAGTCCCGCTCAATGTTTCACGACTATTTTTTCAGCAATCATATTTTCAAATAAAAAAACATTTTGAAAAATTTAATTTTTTGATGGTCTAATTCAGCGAAACGCTAGTCTATTCTAAAAATCAATAAAGTGTTGGTTTAAAATTAAGTTAAATGTTTTGATTTTCACGCTTTGTCTCAAAGAAAGCACAACAAAATATTTGGTGTTTACGAACTATTTTTAGCTAACGATAATAAGTAGCCGGAATTTCGAATGAATAATTCGAATTTCGTGGAAGGAAGGAAATCGATTGAGCATCTAGGGAGTTTCGGCGCGTGGTAGCCCTGTTAAGCACTAAATTCAACTTTCATTATTGTCAATTTGGAAACTTTTTGTCTGTCAATATTTAAAGTAGATTTAAAGTAACGAGTAAAGTGAGTGAAAAGTATTTCTTTAATTGTTGACAATTTTCCGTGGTGTGTGGGTAAAATATTGAGTGGTTTTAGTAAAAATTCTCGGTAAAAGTTCCATTCTCTTGAACGTCGAAAGTAACCGATCTCATACGACAGTCAGTGTCCTCACAAACAACAAGCTACGGCCAGTAAGTGATTTTCTTGTGATTTTCTAGCGTTTATTCGAAGCCACTTTAGTTGTAATTGTTATATTTGCACGGTTTTTGCGTTGTTTTAACTTGGTAAGTAGTTTTTTCGTGGTTTTTGGCGTTGTAAAATTCGCGAAAGCGTTGAGTTAGAGGACGAGGTTTTTTCTTCCCGAACAATGCAATGCGTCATGTGTAGCTTGAAACCGTCGATAAATGCCTCTAAATTGTGCAAATTTGTGGTCGATTTTGCGATTTAGGGTGCGAATTTAGTCGTGCCCCCACGCGTGATTGGTTAGTTTTTGGGGTCTTGACATTGAGGTGGCGGGTGCTTTGGTCGGGTTGTGGTCCTTTGTCCGCCACACGGCCACCTGCCGTGTGTGAGACATCCTTGGTATGTGGCAAGGACCTTGAGAAGATCAGTGCATCCCCCCTTCTGGCGGCGGTCCGGGTCGTCGACCTGGCGTCTTTGTACAATGGTCAGGTGCTTAATGATTTGTGTTTTGTGTGCACACAGGCAGAGGAGGCCGTATTGCCTGACTGATTTGAACTGGTGCGAAGCGAGAGTTTTCGAGGCGCGCCCGATCACCACCACGACGGAGAGCCCCAGGCAGACGGGGCCACAAGCTCGTAATTCGGGGAAGGACGCTGTTCCCCCCGTGAAGCGACGCTGGGTCCCTCCATCGACATTGCGACGTCAAGATGCGCTCACCCCCGAGTCCCGTAACGACCTCGTCTTCCGCAAAGTGCGCGGCATCCTCAACAAGCTCACCCCAGAGAAGTTCCAGAAGCTGAGTGATGACCTCCTCCGCATCGAGCTCTCCTCGAGCGTCATCCTAAAGGTAAATCCACAAACACTTTCACTCCCGTACTGGATTTTTTTACCACCAAGTTGGCAACATTTRCGATCAAAATCAAACGTCACATTTTTATAGTCGATTGTCATGCATTTCCGRGGGTCGGCCACTGGCATAGCCGTCACCTGACACAATTAGTAAAACCTGTAATTCAGTCTTGCCAACTTTATTTCAAAGTCACAGACGACTTTAATCAGAAATTTAATATAACGCAGGCTAGATTAAAAGTAAAGATAAGTATCTTTATTTTTAAAATTAATTTAAATAAAGAAAATAAAGTTTTACAGGTAAATAAATAAAAGTACGTCTATTGCTAAAGGATCAAATTTTGTTTTATTTTCATATCGAAAAAAGTACCGGGTGACTGTAAATGACTGATTTTTATCCTCAAGTTGGCATCAAATTTAAAATTTTAGTTTGGCAACCTTTCCTCTCAAATTCGAACGTCAAACTTTTATAGGTAATTGTCATTCTTTTGCGACGGACAACCACTGGCTTAATCGTCATTTGAAACATCAATATAACAAACAAACGAATAAAACAAAAAAAAGGTCAGTTTTTGGAAACTTTTTTGGCTTAGAGATAAATCAAAACCTCGGTTAATCTAGGGTTCCTAGATTGAGAGAGTGATCAGTCATTTACACTCTAAGGATGAATTGATAAAATGATTGTCTCTAAATAACACTAAAATCGAAAAAAATGGTTATTGAAGTCATATCATCTAAATTTTTCAAACGAATCATCGTTTTTGAATAAAGAGTATTTTTTATTCGACATTCAATAAGTTGAAACTTGCAAATGTAAACATTTAAAAAAGAAAATACGATTTATCGTTAACAGTCTTGCTTGAAGGAATCCAAAAATTTTGCTCTATTTACATAACACCCTGTATATTAAAAAAATATACATAATTATTTTACATTTGGAAGTGCAATCTTAAGTAAAATATCGTTTTTTTCTTTCAAAAACAAGCGAATACAAGAGACATTTTTTGAAGCACAAATAGGCAATAAATCCGAATACGCTAGAAAAATTTGAAAACACCTCTTCCAAAGTAAAATTTTACATCTTAAATATGACCACAGTGCCTCGCCCTCATAATTAAGAAACACAAGTTTTGATAGCACCGTAGATTTTACACAAAAAAATGACTCCAAATGAAATTTTTATAAATCGGTTTTATCCATTTATTGAGATAATTGAAACAAAAACCTTTTGCTTGCTATCTTGAGGGGGTTCTAGGTTTCCTAGACATACAGGTCTAAAGGACTCACCCTCTCAACATTTTTTAAGAGTTATTCCGGTATAGCGTATTAGGTTTTTTTTCTACCATGCACACCATCTCCTTTAAATTAATATACGATTTTAATTTAAAATCACTTGGAAAATTAGTTTCAAAAAGTTCTCTACCTCTTGGACTATTATTTTACTTATTTTTTTTTATAATTTTTGTTTGTTTAATTTTCTGCCAAAATTATTTTGAAATTATGCTTAAGACTTACTATTTTATGTAGAAATTACTACATATTTATTTTCAAGTTTTTATTTATTTAATTTTTAACTGTCTCACTATGCAAGAGATGCGAGTAATAGTTATTTGTATTACAAGGGAGGAAAGTGTATCTTTTTCTCCCACAGGTGGAACTTACTGCCTTAAATTTCTAGAGGGCAATAACGACCCAGGGAGGAAAAGACATTTTCCTCTGGTGTAAGAAAGAAAGAAAAATTTCATAACTAACAATTTCTCTTGATATCTCAGTTTCGTCATTAAATCTAGCAGCATGTTTTTCCGTTTCTATGGGGGACGTAAAATGTTTCCTGTGAGGTTATGCTTATTTTTTTATTTTAATTTTGACAGATTTGCCACTCTCTTTTCTGAAATTAGGGTGGAAAAACTTCTTTCTTTTAGGGTCATAGGAAAATTATTTTTTTGTTTCCTTTTTTTTTGGTTGATGTTAATCTTTTAAGACAAGATATTTCGTAATGATCTTTTTTTTTTTCTATTTTTTTTTTTTTTTTTTTGATATGACGTACCTAATGGCATTTACCGACTTAAAAAATAATAATAAAGACAATGGTTTAGGTTCAACATGAATATGAATATTAAATTACTATATGAGAAATTATGTATTTTCTAGTTTCTGAAACGCTGAAAACAAATGAAAAAAATACACTAAAAAGAGGGAAATTTAGTCTTATAATGTTGGCGACCTAACCGTATTTCTATCAAACTGTCAAAAAGAAATTACGTATACCACCTAGGATTTGAATTTTTAGGAAAATTACGTTTTTCATGTTGTTTGTAACTAGAATTTTCAGAAGTAATTTTGAATGCTTAGGGTTGGTTATCCCTTGTTGTTGACGGTTGACGTTTTCTGTCAACCTGATGTCAACTATCAATTAAGTTATCTATACAAGCTGACAGGTAACTTAACCTAAATTTTTTACACTAATTACAAAATCTTTTGTTTGTCACCACAAACCAACCTAACCAACTTTAGGGCAACCTATTCACGAATATCCCTAAATCTTAGGGAGTAATTTCTTACTGATACGATAATAAATACGAAATTTGGTTTAATTAATCATTGCAAAAAATATTTAGAATGAACATTATGATTATCGTGGTGCTTACGCATACCTTTAGGTCATAGGACAAAGTAAAATAAAAGGTACTTACTGTTACTTTTGAGATTTTTGTGGTTAGGTGGGTTTTGCCGTCAACTTACTGAACAATATTGGCGTGATCTCACAGGGAATAAATTGTTCATCGTATTTGCCGCCGAGGTCCGTATTTCTATAATAGAAGTGTACATTGCAAAACGTCTTTAACACCTTCGAAATTCATTTTTACGAATTAAATAATGACGTTTCAAATTAATTTATTTCAATCACCTAGCCACCGCGCAATGTTGTCAACTTGCAAAATTCCCTACATTCCGAAATTTTACTTTTTTTGTTTAGTGCTTAGTGCAAAGTAGAAAAAATACTGTATTTGTTATCTCGTTTATAAGGCATTTTGTTGCACGCACGGGTTTAGGACAGTTGGAGACAAAATACTTTGGTCGTCACTTTTCTGACACTTTAATGTAATTCAAGCTTTAACGCATAGTTTACAATTTAATGTCACTCAAGAGACATTGACGACCAAAGTAATTTGTCTCCAACTGGACACGACGAGCGCAGCGAGGACAAAATGCTTCTTATAAAACTCGTATCATAATATACTATTATCTGCGACTATTATGATGTTTGTATAGGCACATAATTGAGTTCATATTACACTCCGTGAAATATAAATTTATATTCCACGACTCTTCCTTGTATGGCTTACAGTTTGAACRCAATTTGACATTTTTATTAATTAAATTAAAGCGTCAACTTTGTCAAATCGAAAATCGAAAAAAATCAATAATCGAAAGTATTTTATAGTGGTAGATAAAGCATAGTATTCTACTCGCATATAATGGCTATTTTTCACTCAGGTGATTAAAAAACTCGTCAACGACTTGTTTTTTTAAACTTTACCTTCGTGAATAATAGTCATTATTATACGCTCCTTGAATAATATTTATACTATTTTCTGGTGATTGGTGTCGAAATATGAGATCGACACTTTTTGTACATTGTTTAATTTGATTTTCTTGAAATACAATATGTTTTTTAAATGAGAAAAATTTCATGTTGTGATGTTGCAGGGCGTCATCCTGCTCATCTTTGACAAGGCCCTCGACGAGCCGAAGTACTCGTCTATGTACGCGCAGCTGTGCAAGCGCCTATCAGAGGAAGCTCCGAATTTCGAGTCCGACGGTAGCACGTGCACCTTTCGTGTTCTTCTGCTCAACAAGTGCAAGTTAGAATTCGACAACCGCGCGGCGGCTTTGGAATCGATCAGTTCCGGCTTAAACGACGAAGATGAGGAGCGTCGTCAGGTGGCCAAGCGTAAAATGCTTGGCAATATTAAATTTATCGGTGAGCTCGGCAAATTGGAGATATTATCGGAGGGTATCCTCCACCGGTGCATCCAGGAGTTACTGGTGCGCCGCGGCGACGATCCTTCCGAGGACTTGGAATGTTTGTGTCAAATCATGCGAACATGCGGTCGCATTTTGGACACCAACAAGGGACAGAAACTCATGGAGCAGTACTTCGATCGTATGAAATTACTAGCGGCTAATACGGATTTACAGCCAAGGATTCGTTTCATGTTGAAAGATACGATCGATTTGAGACATAATGGGTGGGTGCCGAGAAAGGCAACGGTTGTGGAAGGCCCCATGCCCATTAATCAGATCAGACCGGCCGACGACGATCGACCGGGATATAGAAGGGATCGAAACAATCACGAAAGGGACAGCGAAAGATCAGAACTGTTCCGACATCCGATGAAGACCAGAACCGGCATCGACGACATGATCATGAACATCAATTTAACATCATCACCGAATTTAATACCAACTAATACTTTCGGTATCAACGGATTTGGAAATCAAAGAGATGGAGGATTTCGCGGACACAACAACCAACGCAGCGGATATAATAACTACTCCAATCAAAGGGGACAGTATAAGCACAACCAGAATAATGCCAATTCACAATACAACAATCGTGAGAATATAAAAAAAAACAATACTAAATTATTTACTTAATATTTGACACTTGCAGAAAGCAACAAAGAAATCGCTCCACGTTTCAAGAAAAACTTCATTATGCCAAAAGAAGAAATCGAAGACGTGGAATTGAGACCTACGTCGATGCTTTTTAATAAAGCTTCAGTTAAAACAAACAACATGATGAATAGTAGAACCATAGAACCATCGTTTACTCAGAGTATGAAACAAGCGCCAGCTACCTTACATAAAGAACCATTACCCATCAAACAAGTAAGCTCTGAGAAGCCAAAACAATCAAAGAAGGATAAGGTAGGTTTCTTTCAAGATTTTTTTCAACCATCACTTATTTTTATATCATATTTACATTTAATTTAAATACGAAGATAATTCTTATTGAAACCATTGTTTTTTAATTGGCAAAAATTTTAAAACATTGAGAAACTCACGTTTTGCAAGGAGAATTTTGTGTTTTTTAATATTCTTTACTGTTTAGAATTTTACAATGCAGAGGAGGTAAGTTTATAATGAAAACAGAACAGAAGTTTAATCAAACAAAGGAGAAAAAAAAGTTTTTGTTGATCGTTAATAATGAATAAAAAAAAATTGACACTTTCTGAAACTTTACTGTAAACCAGGCTTTAACGTCAGATTTGACTTTTTAAAACTTTAAAACCGTCAAAATGACAGGAGACTACATTCAAGTCAGGTTATTATGTAAGGGCCGTTTCACACGTAAAGTTAACAAGATGACTTTGCGATCCGTTTTTGTCCGCAAAGTATCAATGCACTTGTTTATTGTTTAATAATTTTTATTCTTCGACACTTTTAAAATTTACGGTTTTTCTCTCATGTAAGGAAGTTTTGACAACTGTTTGGCATTTCTCAATACCAAACGTCAGATTATTTTTAACAAATGTAAAGCAATTTTCAGCCTTGTTGAGTCTAATTCTAAGAATAAAATGTTGTCTTCACCTCGTGAATGATAAACCACTCGTTAACACTCATGGTTCCACTCGGTGAAATAATGCGTCCGATTTACACTCAGACTCGTCGAACAAATAACTATTAATTTATAATAATAACTATAATAATACTTATTACTTAATTATTGATGATGCAATACAGTTTTAGAATTTTTTTAAATTAATGAGGGATAATAAAGAAAATAATTTAGATTATTTCTGTAACCACGTTTTAAAAAATCGATGTTTTTTAAGCATAATATCGCGTGCTAACACCCTTTTTACAACTTAACCAATTTGTTCCTAATTTTTTATGTATCTTGGGGTTTATCTAATTTGAAATAAATGTTAAAAATTTTGTAGCAAATTGCTATGACGCAAATAGTTTTTTATTGTTCACTCATAACAAACTATATTTTGTACTTTGGTCACCCATAAATCATTGATGGTTATTCAAAGGTTATTTTATGCAATAGTGCAAATTCTAAGAGTTATCGTTTATGCTAGGGTCCAACAAARGATGAAGTTTTGAAGAAGTTCGCGTCGCTTTTGGACGAATATTGGAAGGGTGATATCGACGTGAAGCAAGCCGTTAATATGTATAAAGAGCATAAAGTCCCCGATAAATTCGCCAAGGATATAATGTTGCACGGTTTGTCAATTGCAGTAGATAAATCGGGTAGGTTTCAACTCAAAACAAGTTACGTAGCGAAACTTGATTTATTATCATTTTTCTCAGATGTGGAACAAGAGAAGCTTATCAAATTCCTAAGTAATTTGAAAGAAGAGAACGCCGTGAATAGTAACACCCTTCAAGACACCTTCAAGTCATTATGCAACATTTTAGACGAACGAGAAAACGAGATCGAGAAAGCTACAAATGCTGTTGCATATCTCTTCAGTGTTGCTATAACTGAACATCTGACTTTGCTATCGGAAGTGGCATCGTTGACCGACAATGGTGCTCATTATCCTCTTTTCCTCGTCGTGTTGCAACATTTACACCAGAAACGTGGCAAACCCGAACTCACYGAACTCTTCAATAAAAGCAAAGTTAATCTCTTGACACAGTTGCCCGAAAGTGACAAGACTAAAGAACGTCTTTCGGAGATTTTAGAAGAGCGCGATTTGACATTTTTATATCCATTGTTGCGCATCCAAGCTGAATTAGCGAGACAGCTAAATACCGATCCGAATCCACAATCGTACTATAAATGGATCAAGGAGAATTTAGATCCGTCGAATTTCAACGATCCGGGTTTTATAAATGCACTCATGACGGTGTTGTTGAAGTATATAACGCAGGAAGCGGCCGCGAGTGGCGACGATAAAGCCGTTGCGGAGAAAGAGAAAAGTATGCTGGAACGTTATCAGCCGATTTTGCATGCGTTTCTAAGGGAAAAGCTTCATCTTCAACTCGTCGCCGTGTATTCTTTGCAGGTGCACTTGTACTCGTTAAACTTCCCGAAAGGGCAACTACTCAGGTGGTTTATGGCCCTCTATGACTTGGAGATTGTCGACGAGGAGGCCTTTTTGAACTGGAAGGAGGATGTCACTGACGCCTATCCCGGCAAGGGACAAGCTTTGTTCCAGGTTTGAAATAGAGGTTTTTGCTTTTGATTTAATAAAATGTGGTATTGTTAGGTGAATCAGTGGCTCACATGGTTGCAGGAGGCCGAATCTGAAGAGGAAGAGGGCGAGGATTAGAGCGTCGATGCGCTCGTCATTTAGGAAAAGTTAAAGCTAATTTAAGTTATTAAATACACACTGGGACTCTAGTCCTGTATTTACTTTGTTTTTGGTGTCGACAATGGTTTCGTAGTCGAGGAAAATTAAGTCTTTTTTTGCGCCGAACAACTTCTATGTGGAATTGTCACAACCCACTGGCTGTTCGTTTGTGTGCGTGATGTTTTTATAACATAATTTTTAATTGATTAATAATTGAATAATAGGAAAAGTGATTTAGATCTGTAAGTTTATATACCTATTGCATGATTGCCACCCAAATTGAATGTGACGTGGTTYTGTACCCGCACTTACCACTCTTGACTGTGTTGATAAATTAATAATTATATTTCGAGCTTTTCAAACTATAATATATACTTTTATAACAATGTGTTCTCCGTTTATGTAATGAATGTCCTATTATTTTGTTTCAAGTATTTTGTTATGAAGAAATAGTTAAATTCCCAATACACTTAGATTAGTCAATGTTTCACATAAATTATAAAATCATGTCCTTGTGAATATGATTGTGTTAATAAACTATTCGGTGGTATTTTGCTATCGACGTAAATTTTAATTCTCTTTTTTTACCCCACTACCACATCCTCAATCACACAATATTCGATTATTGAAATATATTCAATTGCAGATTAACAAAAATAATTTGAATTTTATCATTAGGGTATTCAATATTTCTTAATTACAAAGAATCTTTTATTTATTATTTGTTTATCAAAACTGAGGAAAATTAAAACGGCAACATTGTGTAATGGAAGGGATTTAGTGAGGCCAACTTTTGAAGTTAAATCCCCTAGATTCTGCAATTTGATTTATCGGATGAATTTGGTGGATTCGATTTTATATCAAATGTTGGATGCACTTTTTTATTAAGCTGTTGCCGGTTTATCTTTACATTTTTTTTAAATAATTTTAACGTTTTTAAGAGATTCACACAGTTTAGCCTGGGGGAATTTTACGAGAATTTAATAAACTGGAATTAAATTTAAAAATTTTGTGGATTTGATCACAGGATTTGATTACTTGTGGCTCCATCGGCCGGGGTGTTGACAGCTGCAATTAACTTAACCTAAAAATTGCCTTACTTTCGGAAAATATGTTTAAAAAGTATTTTTTRGAACAGTTGCTCTATTTTTGTGCGCTAACGTCTATTTTTACAGATTCGATGAAAAGGAAAGCATTTCCGGTGTTTTGCAGTTGAAATCTTCGGTTCAGAAAGGGATCCGGTCGAAACTTGTGGATTGTTACCCCCATTTGGAAGGTTTTATCGACAATATTTTACCGAAGAAAGATGCACTGCGTATAGTAAAATGGTGAGAATTTATTTAGCGAAAAGTCCGTTTTAATCTAGTCTTATTTTCAGCCATGACCATGTAGAAATTATTGTGAATTCAGCGGGAGAGCTGCTCTTTTTCAGGCATAGGGAAGGTCAGTGGATGCCGACATTGAGACTACTTCACAAATGTACGTTTTCACCATTTTGTTGAGCTTAATGTAATGGAAGTGTGTCACAGATCCGTTTTTCCTGCCAATGCTGCAAGTCGACAAGGGGGCTATTAGGTTTGTATTAAGCGGTGCGAATATAATGTGCCCGGGACTGACGTCACCTGGAGCAAAAATGACTGAAGTCCCGAAAGACACAGTCGTGGTAAGTAAAAAATTATATAAAACTAATTAACTAATTAAAATTAAGGCCATTATGGCAGAAGGTAAACAACATGCTTTGGCTATTGGTAAAACAACATTATCCACCGAGGACATGTAAGTATTTTCATGGTTTTGGTTGATGTTAAAGGCAAATGTTTCAGAACGAAAATTAATAAAGGAATAGGAGTCGAAAACTGCCACTATTTAAATGATGGTTTATGGCAAATGAAACCTGTAAAGTAACGTTTTGTATTTATTGCCTAACAATAAACAATTTTTATAAATAAATAATCGTTTTTGATTTGGTATCATATACACCGGTTTGGTGTACATTTGGTTGCATAAATGCCGGCGCATGACAGGAAAAATTCCTGCTGCGTTCGGTAGTTTTCGCTTCAATCGATCGTCCTCAAGCTTGGCTTCAGCGATTCCTGCTGGTGTTTCTTCCACAGCGATAGCAATGTTGGTTTTGATAGTAGGAATCGGTGTTCAGTGCTATACGGTTGTGTGAGTGACATAATACCGGCGTATGTTTATGTTGTGCCATATGATGAGTAAAAAATGACATCGACGACTACAATAAGAAAATCCTACGGGAGCAGAAAGATCTTTACCTTTCCTGAAGACTATTCTCTTCGATCCCCGAAACAAAGACCAAGTTCGGCGAATCTTCCCAGGAAGAACGAAGAAGCCACCAAATTAATTAAATACATTGATGATAACATCATCGGGAAAAATAACGCCTTTTTGGGACCATTCGGGCGCAGAAAAGGTAATTTTTAAGTCTCGACTGGGATTGTAGTAAACAAATAAATCCGGTGAAGTGACATTGCCAGCTTGTTTGCTATTAATACATGGATTTTGCCACAAATGCACTGATCGCCCTTGAATTCCGATTTTATGGAACACGTGATGCGCTCCTGCAGAGATTTTTGCCAAATAACTTCCCAACATTTAAATTTTTTCATTGCCAAAAAATTAATTTTTGACCGAATCATGAATTCAAAATCGATTTTTGCTATTTACAAAGGTTGTTTTGTTTGCAGGAGTGATTCATAAGTCAAGCATAATTAACACAATGGAAGTGTGTTATCATTTTGAATAATTTATTTAAAAGGCGAAATCTTTGAAGATTTTGTGTACGGTTGCAATTAGCGGTGAAAATTTGCGTCAGTGTAAAAATGTAGTATGGATGAATTTAAATTTCTAAAATGACTGTTTTTTTGACTTGATAAAATATTTTTTATTTTGCGAATAACTCACTTGCTCGGCTTCGTCTCGTCCGAAAATAGAATTTGTCGCAAAAACTGTATTTTAGATTTGGGTACTTGTAACAAAAATAATTATTTGTTAAAACTTGTTTGTAAATTGGTTTTTTACAGCCTATAAAATTCTTAAAATACCTCAAGTTTGCAGTTGGTAGCCGCTATTTATTTATGTTACGTTTTTAGCCCAATTAATTGTGGAAAAAATCGCGTCTAATGTCGCAAATTTCCGCGAACCGAATTGAGGTCGCTGCAAAAATTGGTCAAATAGGCCAGCAGCTCGTCTCAGAGACAATAAAATAATTTGTTCGCGGAATTGCTAATTGCCCCATAAAATTAGTCGCGATTTTGCTTTCATCCTGCGTAACCACTAGACAGTGTGTCGCTGCAGTAATAACTCAGGTGGGAGCAAAACTTCAAGTTGAACGAACCGACTGCGACTTAAGTGGGCCAAGGGATGGTCTTGTTTTCGGGAATGGGGTGCACGTGCCGTCGTATCGATCGCGGGGTGACCTACCCCCACACCATCGCTGGTGGGGCCACTATTACGTCGTACAATAACCCCGAAAACTGATCACAAACATATTATTACCCTTTGAGTGAAAAATCGACCAGTTCATCGCCCTTTCTCGAATCACTTGACAAGTTTTCAATCAACTTGTATGCAAATATTGTTCTTGGAATCGCAATCGCGATTTTATTTTTTAAACATGTTTGGCAATTTGTGGTTCTTGAGACGGTGCCAATTTCGTAACCAAATGCGCCAAACTGACTTTTCAAATTGTGTGTAAAGGAAGAGGCATTAATTTTGGCCCAACTATTTAACCACCTGTTTTTCTTAAGTGAGGTCGAAGGCCTCTAATTGAAACTTGGCTTTTACGAGCGTTTTATGTAAAAAATGAACGGTCAATGAAATTAGAGTGAAGCTTTTTTAACTTGTTTTTTGGCAAGAATTTAACAGAAACAAAAAAATTGCTGTATACAATAATTTCAACAAAACATTTTCGAATCTGATGGGATTTGACCACCATTTCTAGCTATTTTTCTATTTTGAGTCTCCAACAAGACTATTAGCAAACTCCTTTGGGTGCGTTAACAGCCTAGTGCATTTTATGTTTTTAATGTTGGTGACAATGCCGTTGGAAGTAAATTTTTCAATAATATTTTCAACTTTCCGAATTTTTGGTGGCGAACATCAAAAACCTTACAAGTTGATTTTCAAATTACAAATGATGGTGATTCGTGATATCACCAACTGACATAAAATTCCCTAAATTTGAAAATGTTTCAAATCAACATAAAAACCGGAAAAAAATAGAGGGAACAAAAATATTTCCTAATTTTTTTGGTGATTTTTTTAAAAATTGTAATTTGTAATGCTGTAATTTTTTTGGTGATTTTTGAAAAGTTGTAATTTGCAATGCTGTATCTCATTGAAAAATGGTCGTATTTAGATTAAAAAAACGAACATTTTCAAGCTTTGAAATTTATAGGCAAATTTTTTTGTATGCTACGGTTATAACGCAATCTCAAGAAATAGTGCGAGAAAAAATTGAAAAATKTTTGTTTTTTCTCATTTTTTTAACCTTTTTTACAATTTTCCATTAGTTATTTGTTAAAGTGTTCAAAAAATCGCGCACTTCTTTAAAAGGAAGTCCCCCAGAGTACCGAAAAAATATTTAAAAAATTCTCTGTCAAAAAATTTTGACATTTATTTTTTGACATTTGACTTTTTTTAAGTCTATTTAATGATACTGATGATCTTGTATATGTTTGTTTATAATCATATACTAAAGGTACAAAAATTTTGTCAATAAAAGCCACAAATAACACTAAACAGAATTACAATTTAGGATACAGCTTCTTTGTTTCCTCTTCTAATAGCCTGTAGCAAAAAAACTTGGAAAATTATTTTTCTAACAGAAATAAATAGTTATAGTGCAAAATTTAAACTCTCATAACTTCGGAATTTTTAGAGATTTTTTTTTACATTTTTCTTSTTGTCTAGTGCACCGCCCGATGACACAGTGTCACGGAAGTGCGTGATTTTTTAAACACCCTGTATATAATTTAGATTTTTTTTTTAAATTAATTAATTAAAAAAAATTAAAAATGATTTTTTTTCATAATAATTTTTCAGTACCTGTATTATTTCCTAATTTTTTTTATAGATTTAAAAAAAATCCAAAAAAAATATGATTTAATTTTTTCAAATTAACAGTTAATAAATTTTGTTAATTGTTAATTTGTTCCGAAAATTTGAAAAAACCAATACTAAACAAACAATACTAAATTTTTGAAAAAAAGRAATAATAATTTTTTTTAATTTCTTGGATTTGTTTTCTCCCTTGCCATTCAAGCAATCTTTTGTTCCTCAACTCGCTACTACGCTGCTCGTAGCGCTCGTTTTTTAAAATACTATTCTTAAAGAATTAATTACTCTTATTGTCATGAATGGCAACCAGTTCGCGTGGCAAAAAGAAATAAAATCGCTTTCAGTCWCTTGGTCATGGTTAAAAATAGCCGGTGAAAAAGGGGCACCTCCATTCAATACAACACGAAACGCTTGACATTATAATTGAACAATGAAAAATGTAAAAGAAGTGCGAACAACCCCAATCGATTCAAGGAAAATGCATGTCTCGGAGTTGTTTTGACGTAGCTTTTCAAGGAAACAACAGTAATGACACGTTAAAAATCCTTTTGTGGAATGATGATGCAGTGTAGCGACTCAGGAAATGATGCCTATTATTAATAGTCCACCTGGGGGTTAATTATAGGCAAAAGGCATTGACCTCGCGTTTTTTTAAAACCCTTTGACATTGACTGATTGTGGGAGAGATTAGGTGGTTTAATTGTCCTCGAGTGACCAACAGGACAAATTTATTAAATGAGTTAGTTAATTCACGGAAACAGTCAAGAACAAGTAGAACAGAAAATGAAACACAAAACCGACCCTGATGAAGCAATTCAGCTAATATAATCGAGACGAATACGCGTTTCAATAACACCAATAACGTCAATGAAAATTTTTTCGAAAAAGACGGAAACCTCTAATTTTAGAATGCACAAAGCGATGCTAATATCAAAAATAGAATTTTATTGGGTGCGACTTCCTTTTCCTCCTCAAATCGAGAAAGTGGTAAAAATAGAAAGTTCATGTATAACCCGGAAAATTACGATTAATAAACTTTCTTGCGATTTTTCAACCTTGACATTGCTCAGAGTTGCGTCAAACGCATTTATTTCGAATAATTTCTCTCTGGAATCGAATTCATTCCCGGCTGAAACGTTTCATGGCCAAAACAAGGCCACCGAATTCGCGACACGCGTGGATAAACAGTGTCATAAATTAGACTTTTGCGACCATTATTCCCAACTTTCTACATGCCAAACAATTAATTTGAATAAAAAGCGGATGACATCATCGTCATAAATGAATAAATCTTTGATAAGGTTGATCAAAACAAGTACAGCTGGAGGGAATGAAAGGCGACCAAATGTCTAGCTAAACCATTACGAAACTGTAATAGCACCTATTTGACATTTACTCGAGGGCCCTCCTTACGCAACCAGTTGCGTGATTGATGGCTTTTTGCAAATTACCAGCTGGAAAAACAATTTTGCACTAAGTTCAAAGTTTATCGATATTTACATAACTGGACAGCCAGTTCAACGATTGGATGACGCCAATTTGGCTACCGAGCTCAAAAAACAATTTCATCAAACATAAATATTTATAAATTGATTGGTATTCAACCAAGACGCTTTTTTGTTGAAGGATATTCACATTCAAGTGAGTGTTTAGGAAGACGGGCTGTTATCTCACGATATGCAAAAACATTGAAGGAAATGTCAATTTATATAATGATAACTTTAAAAAACATCACTGATAAGTCGTAACAAATACTGAAGGGCTGAACCTTGGGATTTTAATCTACGAAAATGTGAGTCAAAACACGAAATTTTCGGTTATGTTCCACTCAAGCGCCAATTTATTGGGATAATACGTTGTTGGCAATTRATTCAGTTTCAATTTAAGACGAATCATATTATTAGAACGTTCATTTCCATTGTGGAGTATTCAAGTGTCTTGAAATTGTGCCATTAACAAGATCCTTTCAGGTTATTCATTTGTGGTCAAATAACACGAATTTATTAACATTTTAATTTGCACACTCTAGACATGTGTGCGACGATAGGATCAAAAGATTAAATCTATTGTTGGGCACGATATTTTTTCTTTGTTTGCAAGTATTTTGTTGTCAAGTAGGAATTATAGTTCGTATTGTTTGCCATTTTTTATTAATTTATTTGGTTTTTTTCTGTTGTCACAGTAAAATTTGGAACTTTTAGTGGAATAACAAGAAAACAAATTTTTTTATCATCTAAGTGCTCAAATGAGAAATTATATTAATGTTTTCTTATATCTAGTCCAGAAGTGATTTTTTAGTACTAATTGTTCCGGGTTGGCTCAGAAAATGTTTTAGAAAAAACAAATGTGTTC